AAGCCTAGCAGCACACCCTTCCGCACAAGAGGCATTCGATTTGATTCTTTTATGTGAAGAAGTTTTACCTGAAGTTTTCCACACAACTAGAACCTAAGCCTTTTTTATTTTAGAATCTGGGGTATTCTCATAGCGAAAATGGCCTTTTTGGAAAAATTACGTATAGCGAAAAAAGCTAATTTAGTCAATTTTCAAAGCCTAGCAGCACACCCTTCCGCACAAGAGGCATTCGATTTGATTATTTCCCATTAAAGAAGATTACCGGAAGTTTTTCACACAACTAGAACCTAAGCCTTTTTTATTTTAGAATCTACGTTATTGTTATGGCGAAAATGGCCTTACTTTGAAAATTGACTAAATAAGCTTATTTCGCTATATGTAATTTTTCCAAATAAGGCCATTTTCGCTATGAGAATACCCCAGATTCTAAAATAAAAAAGGCTTAGGTTCTAGTTGTGTGGCAAACTTCAGGTAAACTTCTTTAACATAAAATAATCAAATCGAATGCCTCTTGTGCGGATGAGTGTGCTGCTAGTCTTTGAAAATTGACTAAATTAGCTTCTTTCGCTATACGTAATTTTTCCAATTAAGCCCATTTTCGCCATAAGAATAACGTAGATTATAAAATAAAAAAGGCTTAGGTTCTAGTTGTAGGAAAAACTTCAGGTAAACCTCTTTAACATGAAATATCCAAATCGAAAGCCTCTTGTGCGGAAGGGTGTGCTGCTAGGCTTTGAAAATTGACTAAATAAGCTTATTTCGCTATATGTAATTTTTCCAAATAAGGCCATTTTCGCTATGAGAATACCCCAGATTTCAAAATAAAAAAGGCTTAGGTTCTAGTTGTGTGGCAAACTTCAGGTAAACCTCTTTAACATGAAATAATCAAATCGAATGCCTCTTGTGTGGAAAGGTGTGCTGCTAGGCTTTCAAAATTGACTAAATTAGCTTTTTTCGCTACGCGTAATTTTTCTAATTAGGGCCATTTTCGCCATGAGAAAAACGTAGATTCTAAAATAAAAAAGGCTTAGGTTCTAGTTGTGTGGCAAACTTCAGGTAAACCTCTTTAACATGAAATAATCAAATCGAATGCCTCTTGTGCGGAAAGGTGTGTTGCTAGGCTTTCAAAATTGACTAATTAGCTTTTTTCGCTATGCGTAATTTTTCTATTTAGGGCCATTTTCGCCATGAGAAAAACGTAGATTCTAAAATAAAAAAGGCTTAGGTTCTAGTTGTGTGGAAAACTTCAGGTAAACCTCTTTAATGGGAAATAATCAAATCGAATGCCTCTTGTGCGGAAGGGTGTGCTGCTAGGCTTTTAAAATTGACTAAATGAGCTTTTTTCGCTATAAGTAATTTTTCCAATTAAGGCCATTTTCGCCATGAGAATAACGTAGATTCTAAAATAAAAAAGGCTTAGGTTCTAGTTGTGTGGAAAACTTCAGGTAAACCTGTTTAAAGGGAATTAATGAAAACGAATGCCTCTTGTGCGGAAGGGTGTGCTGCTAGGCTTTTAAAATTGACTAAATAAGCTCATTTCGCTATATGTAATTTTTCCGAATAAGGCCATTTTCGCTATGAGAATACCCCAGATTCTAAAATAAAAAAGGCTTAGGTTCTAGTTGTGTGGCAAACTTCAGGTAAACCTCTTTAACATGAAATAATCAATCGAATGCCTCTTGTGCGGAAGGTGTGCTGCTAGGCTTTCAAAATTGACTAAAATTAGCTTTTTCGCTATGCGTAATTTTTCTAATTAGGGCCATTTTCGCCATGAGAAAAACGTAGATTCTAAAATAAAAAAGGCTTAGGTTCTAGTTGTGTGGAAAACTTCAGGTAAACCTCTTTAATGAGAAATAATCAAATCGAATGCCTCTTGTGCGGAAGAGTGTGCTGCTAGGCTTTTAAAATTGACTAAATAAGCTTTTTTCGCTATAATTAATTTTTCCAATTAAGGCCATTTTCGCCATGAGAATAACGTAGATTCAGGCTTAGGTTCTAGTTGTGTGACAAACTTCAGGTAAACCTCTTTAACATGAAATAATCAAATCGAATGCCTCTTGTGCGGAAAGGTGTGCTGCTAGGCTTTCAAAATTGACTAAATTAGCTTTTTTCGCTATGCGTAATTTTTCTAATTAGGGCCATTTTCGCCATGAGAAAAACGTAGATTCTAAAATAAAAAAGGCTTAGGTTCTAGTTGTGTGGAAAACTTCAGGTAAACCTCTTTAATGAGAAATAATCAAATCGAATGCCTCTTGTGCGGATGAGTGTGCTGCTAGGCTTTTAAAATTGACTAAATAAGCTTTTTTCGCTATAAGTAATTTTTTCAATTAAGGCCATTTTCGCCATGAGAATAACGTAGATTCAAAAATAAAAAAGGCTTAGGTTCTAGTTGTGTAAAAAACTTCAAGTGGACCTATTTAACATGAAATAATCAAATCAAATGCCTCTTGTGCGGAAAGGTGTGCTGCTAGGCTTTGAAAATTGACTAAATTTGCTTTTTACGCTATACGTAATTTTTCAAAATAAGGCCATTTTCGCCGTAAGAATAACGTAGATTCTAAAATAAAAAAGGCTTAGGTTCTAGTTGTGTGGAAAACTTCAGGTAATCTTCTTTAATGGGAAATAATCAAATCAAATGCCTCTTGTGCGGAAGGGTGTGCTGCTAGGCTTTCAAAATTGACTAAATTAGCTTTTTTCGCTATGCGTAATTTTTCTAATTAGGGCCATTTTAGCCATGAGAAAAACGTAGATTCTAAAATAAAAAAGGCTTAGGTTCTAGTTGTGTGGAAAACTTCAGGTAAACCTCTTTAATGGGAAATAATCAAATCGAATGCCTCTTGTGCGGAAGGGTGTGCTGCTAGGCTTTTAAAATTGACTAAATGAGCTTTTTTCGCTATAAGAAATTTTTCCAATTAAGGCCATTTTCGCCATGAGAATAACGTAGATTCAAAAATTAAAAAGGCTTAGGTTCTAGTTGTGTAAAAAACTTCAAGTAAACTTCTTTAACATGAAATAATCAAATCAATTGCCTCTTGTGCGGAAAGGTGTGCTGCTAGGCTTTGAAAATTGACTAAATTAGCTTTTTACGCTATACCTAGTTTTTCCAATTAAGGCCATTTTCGCCATGAGAAAAACGTAGATTTCAATCTAAAAAAGGCTTAGGTTCTAGTTGTGTAAAAAATTTCAGGTAAACTTCTTTAACATAAAATAATCAAATCAAATGCCTCTTGTGCGGAAGGATGTGCTGCTAGGCTTTGAAATTTGACTAAATTAGCTTTTTTCGCTCTACGTAATTTTTCCAAAAAAGGCCATTTTCGCTATGAGAATACCCCAGATTCTAAAATGAAAAAGGCTTAGGTTCTAGTTGTGTGGAAAAGTTCAGGTAAACTTCTTCAACATAAAAGAATCAAATCGAATGCCTCTTGTGCGGAAGGGTGTGCTGCTAGGCTTTAAAAATTGACTAAATTAGCTTTTTTCGCTATACGTAATTTTCCAAATAAGGTCATTTTTGCTATGAGAATACCCCAGATTCTAAAATAAAAAAGGCTTAGGTTCTAGTTGTGTGGCAAACTTCAGGTAAACTTCTTCAACATAAAATAATCAAATCGAATGCCTCTTGTACGGAAGGGTGTGCTGCTAGGCTTTGAAAATTGACTAAATTAGCTTTTTTCGCTATACGTAATTTTTCCAATTAAGACCATTTCCGCCATAAGAATAACGTAGATTATAAAATAAAAAAGGCTTAGGTTCTAGTTGTAGGAAAAACTTCAGGTAAACCTCTTTAACATAAAAGAATCAAATCGAATGCCTCTTGTGCGGAAGGGTGTGCTTCTAGGCTTTGAAAATTGACTAAATAAGCTCATTTCGCTATATGTAATTTTTCCAAATAAGGCCATTTTCGCCATAAGAATAACGTAGATTATAAAATAAAAAAGGCTTAGGTTCTAGTTGTGTGGCAAACTTCAGGTAAACCTCTTTAACATGAAATAATCAAATTGAATGCCTCTTGTGCGGAAGGGTGTGCTGCTAGGCTTTGAAAATTGACTAAATTAGCTTTTTTCGCTATACGTAATTTTTCCAAATAAGGCCATTGATGCTATTAGAATACCCCAGATTCTAAAATAAAAAAGGCTTAGGTTCTAGTTGTGTGAAAAACTTCTGGTAATCTTCTTTAATGGGAAATAATCAAATCGAATGCCTCTTGTGGGGAAGCGTGTGCAGCTGGGCTTTGAAAATTGACTGAATTATCTTTTGTCGATATACGTATTTTTTTCTAACAAGGCCATATTCGCTATGAGAATACCCTTGATTTTGAAATGAAAAAGGCATGGGTTCTAGTTGAGTGAAAAACTTTTCAAGCTTTTATTATTTATTTTTTGGTTATATACATGTTATTTTTCCTAAATTATTAAACATATTTCCCATAATAGTATGCTAATTTCGTTTATCTTCATTTTTTCGGGTGTAGATTCTGACACGCCTCCATTTCTGCCATAAATATTAACCTTTCCGCTTCGCCGCACACAAAGGTCAAATTGCTACTAGCTTCACAGTGGTCCCCGATGAGTACATTGGGAAATGGTATATATCGTCCCTAAATATAACAGAAACTCTTGCCTTTATAAGTTCTCTTGTGGGTGTGTGGGAATCCGACCCTTTGACCAGTCTTTGTTTATAGCAAGCGACCGCAGACTCCGCCCATGAGGGTTTTGGGCCTGTCTGCCTGAGTCTCTGTCTTCAGCAGGAGGTTTCAAATTAGAATGTGCTTATTTTATAATCTTATCACAGTAAGTTATAGGGTGGGTACCGGTACCGGTACCGTAGAGCAGAACAATGTTTTTTCCCCATGAAGCTCAGGTCAGCAGTTACCGGTAGATAACGGTACGGTACCTAACTTATTATTTCAGGTCTTTTGGTTTTGTTTTTTAAAATTAGGTTATTTTCATTCATATTTAGTACGGTACTTTGTATATTCATAGATGTCAGGATGACTTGCAGATTAGATTAGGGCTGTAGAATAGATGCTAACAAAATTCTGTGTTTTAAGTAGGTTAGTTAATTAATAGACATTGAAAATGGGTTTTGTCAACTTTTGTGTTTTACTTTGGTGTGACAGTAGGATTTAGGATATAATTTACAACCAACCAGCAGTTACGTGAACTACGGTACCGTAATCTACAATCTACGGACAGACTGAGGCAAGGAGTCCAGCAATCTTTTCGTACATTGCAATATTTAGACATTTTGCACAGTTTTTGCCGATCTTTGGCTCTGAATCAAAATGATGAACTGCCTGCATACACTTGTGAACTCGACTGGTTTTTTAAAGATTTTTTTGTTTCATTTAATGGTACTAAAATTTGAGTTTCATCATGCCGAAAATTTTTCATGTTTATTCCTATTCATTATCTTAAATATAATATATCAGTTTGTTTAGATGAACTCAACTTCAACTTACATTCCATATCATTATATTTATCTGAGATTTCTAATACTTATATGCTAAAAATAATAGATGTATTTTTTCCCATGTTCTGGCAAACTTCTACTTCACCCTACAAGTCTATAATTAATACTACTTGCAGTTGACTGGCTATATATATGTATACCATCAAGTCAACATGTTGATGCATGCAATAGCCTATTTTACTATTCCAGCACAGCTCACGTCACGTAGAGCAAGAAACTGATCAGTTACACATCTGTATAAATATGAAAATCCTTCTATTCAAAAGGAAGCCACATATTGTAAAGCATTTCCTAAATCATTCACTTCCTATTTATTTTGTATATGATTGACAAGTGTCAAAACTATCTATATTATCCTTCCAGTTTCATTTTTTCTTGGTAAATGTATCTTAATAAAAAACAAACAGTTTAATTCTCTTTTTCTTTCAATATAAAACCTATTTGATGCTGTTAATTTTGAGTGAATCATTAAGCCTTTTCAAGACATAAAATGGTATATTTTACCTGTTGTTTGGAAAAGATATTCACACATCAAAATAGAACGATAATGAAAACTCAATGAAAGTTGAATTGCCCGAGTCTGGCACACTCAAAAGTTATGTTTATCTAATCTTTGTGGCAATTTCCTTATACAGGACATTGTTTTTCTTTTTTCTATGAATGACCGTTTTGAGCCTGGATGTATTTTTTAAGTATCAAATATTAATTTGCGACCTTGCAGCCGTGATCACTGAGAAGTCATGCATGGCTATGATCGGTAAAAATGTACGTCATCAATTTCAGTGTTGTATCTGGCCAGAAATTACGAAAGAGTTACGGTAAATTGTTAATCCGCATGATATAGTAGTACCAATTTACAATGTTGAGTCAATTTTTAATTATAGGCCTGGTTGTAACTTTAATTACAAGTATTGTCATTATCCCATTGGAATCCAAGTTTTAGTGGTATGCTGTAATTAATTAATTATAAATAGTGCCATCATTGTATTCAGACAATAGTAGACATAACTTCAAGGTGAACTATTTTTTTCACTGAATAATGGGTTATACACAACCCATTTGGTTAATCCCACATCCCTTTCAAGTTTTATTGAAGTCATATTTTCCTTCCCTGGTCTCAAAGTTGCAATAGTTATCATTATGAATTTGCCATGAATGATATTTCATGCTCGAATTGGAAATATATTATAATCTTCAAGCAATTATAACTGGAGGGTATATCTGAAAAACTAATTTTTGTCAATGTAATACCCAAACATAGCATTTTTCTTAACTGCTAATACGCTATTAGACGCTTCCTCAATATCCAGTTTTGAACAGGCCATACAAAATTGAATGCTTCAAATGAGTGTAGACAGCTGTTTTAACACTAATTCAAAGAAATGAATTCTTAAGTATCCATGTGTTAAAATGGCTTGGATGTGTGAAGCACCAACACAGTCATAAATTGTCAGAGATCTCAAATTTTCTGCTTAGAATAATGGTAATTTGGAGGCTGGTGTTGTATAGAATAAAATCTCAGATAACATTCCATAGTGTTATTTATCCATTGGATTTTGCAAAACTTTAATATGTGACCTGTGTTGTTATCTCTTCATATCTATAGAAAATCCAATACCGAGTGCTCTGATTTGGAACGGATTTTTATTTTTTGAAAAGATACGACTAAGGCTTTGTAAAATTTCAGAAAGCCAATGAGATAATTTTAAATATACACTATAATAATATCATTGATAAGCTATTACCGACATTTTTTAGGAATATCAAGCATTACTTTTTATCCTATTGCCATCAACACCCTAAAGTGCATTGAATCAAAATGTGCATATTAACAAAAACTATTGTTCCACCAATCTACAAGGGCTATTTTGTTTAATTAAATGCATTATCATATCCATCTAAATCTTGTCTAATTGTTTATATAGAAGAAATAGAATAAACTGTAATAGTCGTCACAATGACGATTTTAGATAGGGAAGTTACTGCTAAAAACAAAGAAGAAACGGGACAGTCACGAAAACAAAATCATGACAATGGAAATCGTAAACAGAAATCACGGAGTGGTCACTCTGGTTATAGACCATCATCCCAACACAGAAGTGGACAAGTTAGTCCAGCTAATGATTTTAACTTCTGGAGAGATCCAATGGTGGGTCACAGAAATCCAAGAATTGAAGTTCCACCTCATGAAGCTGAAAGAGTGAATATTCATGAAGACTTAGCTTTGCGTAATCATTTGAAACCAAGGGGCCTCTCAAAAAGCAGTGCTGTACCTACACAAAGTGATTCACTCACTGCAATGATAGAGACAACATCAAATGAAATGTCTCATTCTGTTGTTGATGGGAATTGTATTCAGCTTGGAATACCTAAAATATCACAAACAAGTGATATGAACATGCCTTCATCTTCACAGTCTGTCAAAAATTCAGCTCGACACGGGAAAAAAAGTGCTGATAAGAAGATATCCCATAAAAAGAAAAATCGAAGGTCTGCTCCATATAGCCAGAGTAACAAATTATCAAAATCTCATATGAAAACCAATGTTCAAGTTCATCGTGTGCACTTGCAAACTGAAGAAATTGCAGAAAGCACTGACAACAGTACTAGTGCTACTGCTAGGCCTTATGGAACAGGAACAACACTGGGAAATGAAAATCCATTCATAGCCAATGATATGGATGGGCAATATAAACAATTCCCTAATGAAGCCACTGGGTTTCTAAGGACTATGACAGTAAATCCAGACAAATTTTCTAATATTTCCAATTTCCCCAAAAGTTCCCACAGTTCCCCAAGCAGTATGTTGGATACATCATGTTCTGGTTTAGATAAAAATACCACAAATGAAGTGAATGATGCAAAACATAACTCTGATGATGAATATGATCAGAATCGTTTGCAAAAATTACATCGTGGAGTAGATTTTAAAACACTTGAAAGTGAATTTGAAGAAAAACTAAAAAAGGTTCGTGGCTTCATAATAAGACCAATGGGAGAGGATGGAGCTTGTTTGTTCAGAGCAGTTGCTGATCAAGTATATGGAGATCAAAATATGCATGATGAAGTACGCAAAAATTGCATGAATTACATGATTAAGAATTCTGATTATTACAGTAATTATGTAACAGAAGACTTCCATTCATATGTAGACCGAAAACGTGATTTAACTGAGTATGGTAATCATTTGGAAATGCAAGCCATGGCTGAACTTTATAATCGTCCATTTGAGGTTTACCAGTATGCAACAGAACCCATAAATACCTTTCAAGCTAGTCATTTAACTGCAAACCCACCAATAAGAGTTAGCTATCATCAAAATTCACATTATAATGCCGTCATAGATCCATATAAAGCAACAATAGGTGTTGGGCTAGGACTTCCTTCTCTCAATCCTGGAATGGTTGATAAAGGCATGCTAAACTCTGCTCTAGAAGCTTCATGTGAGGAATGGGAACAACAGATGTTGAATGACAAGGTTCAAGCCACCGACTGGGAAAGCACCGATGATGCCATATTAGAACAGGTGGCACGTGAATCTTACATGGAATATATTGAACAAAAATCAAGCAAAATTCAAGAAATACAGCCAAAACTTGCTAATGCAAAACTTTCACCCCCTCGAGAACCCAGTGTTTCGAACATTTATTCTAAACCAGAAACACCCAAAATAGTGAAAGAATTCCCTAAGAAGTTCAATCGTACTGCTACAAACTCATCTACCGGTGATTGGGTGGCTGAGGATGAAGAGTGGCAGGTCTTATCTAAAGTATTAGCTAATTCACAACAAGAGTATATGGACGCTTTAAAACATCATGCTACTCATTCCAAAGCCACCTGTAGCAAATATACATAGCTATATTTCTAATGAATTTTCTATAAGATGTGACTGATGGCACAAGCGAGAAACCTTCAGGTCACTAATTAAATTTTTTTTTATCTGTGTACTTTGATCAAAGGAATTAATAGATTATTCTCTTAGTGCTAATAAATTTTCTAAATGTATATCAACACCTTGGAATGTTTCCTTTATTAACCTCTGATGAGCTGCAGAATTTTTTCCCAATTTCATATGATAATCACTACAAACTGACAATGTTTGATGATATATTGCAAATTTATTGCCACCGAACAAAGGTAAAATATGTAATAGTATTCAAAGAAAAATCAATTTTGGCAAGAATCAACTCAGCACCAGAAACATCAGGCTGTATTGGAATGTAGTCGCCAGATACATGTGTTCAGTCATTATTAAAAATCTGATTTGATGGAAAAAATGTACAAAAATCAAACACTGTTTCATAAAACATAATGTGATAATACTATGAGAAAAGATTCGGAACATCATCATTATAAAAAAAGTAAAATGCTATTAAGGTAATATATATTTACAGAAAAGAATATCAAATAAAGAAGGCGCTAGCAATTGTTAAAAAATCAGTGTTAACACTCTACTTTAGTGGTAGATTTAAAATGTTGGTTGTAAACCTTCCAATGGGTATTATATATATATGTCAGTAATTAACCATATAATTAACTGCAAACCCCTGAGTAGTTTAGTTAACAAAGTGATACATAACAGGACTAGAGTTTAAAAAACAAAATAGGAAACAGAGTTCATTGAATGAGATGACCTTTGGTAATTTTATCCCCCAAAATGGCAAGATCTATGAACACTTCAGTAAAGCAATATACAGATAAAAAAAATCTAAAATTAATTTAACTGCAATACACAAGATACCTTATGACAGACATGCATTTTTACAACTTTGTTACATTTGCATCTGTATTGGTATTTGAAGTACCAGCATCAGGTTCCTGTGGGAAAGTTTCAAATGCAGAATTAAGTGCCACACCTCTTAATATTCTCATATGCTCATCCATTTCAAGCATAGCTTGATCTATCCATTCCACTGAGCCTTTGTGTCGGCAAGCACCCTTTATTATGAGAGCCAGATGTGATACAGAAAATATCAATGCAGCAGCACGTGCCTCCAAAAGCTTGGGATCTAAGGGGGGTTGTATTGCTCTCATCAGGTCATCGACCCTGGGAGTGACACGTTTTGCTATTTGTACAATTTCTTCCAACTGGACAGGATGAATCTGTTCAGTAGTCATTGTTTTTGCTACTAATTTTTCAGTAACGGATCGGCACAGACGTAGAACAGATATACAATGTGGGATGAGGCCCTGAGCATCGAAGGCCCAATCTTCGGTCTCCAATAACTCCCTTATTGTATCGTCATCACAAGTTATGATATCGGCAAGTTCTAACTCTCCCACGGCATCGGTTTCATCCATGTTCGCAGATATTGCATTTGGCGATATAATTCTGTATTCTTCGGCTTCTTCCGCTGAACGTCGATTACAGTATTTGTGGCGACAAAGTACCAGAAGGGCGACAAACGATGCAAGAAATAACGCACCTAGGAAGCTAACACATACAACAACTACAGTTTCCATCTTGATCAGCAGTAATGTCGATCGATCAAAGAAATATGGCGTGCCAATCCAGCCTTCTTTATTGAGCCATTCGTCGACATACGCGATGTCGCCTGAGGCGATTTGTTGACATTCGTAAATCGTTGAAAGAATATGAACCATGGGTACAACCTTTAACCTCAATGAGTAATACAAGCAATCCTAAAGTTGTTTTGTTTAATAAAGCATCTATTAAAGATTGAAATTATCTCCTAATATTTTTTAAACCTGTCCGTCGTGGAACCGGGGGACAAGTACAATACAAACATATTTCCACCATAAGCAACAAAACTGAAAAACAGACATATAAAAAAGGTTACTTTGAACAAAATTTAGTATGAAGTTTAAATTTTTTTACAAGAAGTAAAGAAACACGTAGGCTACAGTACAGGGGTGTAAAATCCACTAAACATAGGGTGCACAACACAAAGCACGCGTTCCCAATGTGGCACGCAAACGGTTTGGTACAAAGTAGTCTGAAAAAACTTGAACCATCAAGTTCATTCACACAATGGTTCGTGAGTAGGGCTGGACATTTTCGAAACTAAATTTTGCCTTCGAGACGAACACACGTTTGTTACAAACAGTAAAACATGGCATCATTATTACCCATCGAATTTAATATATAATAGCACATATTTTCCAGGATTAAATCCACAAAATGAAAGCACAAGAGGCTAATCCGAGAGCATGGGACGCTAATGATAATTCCACGAAGATTTCTACTTAATGACAAAGCAGTGTCCAAATGGCACCAGAATAATACGAATAACGTCATTGTTAGAGATGGGACTCACAAGCAGCACAGCACGGGGCCTCTCAATGCGACCCTGCCCTCATCTCATGTAATAATTGGGCTAATTTTCTACTTCATCCGATGCCACAGATCCTTGTGATGCAGTGGGGGTAATTATACCAGGAATAGCCACAACCGAATATTTGTCTATTTCAGATACATTCCAAAAAATATTTTTGAATATGAATTTCGAATACATTCTTAACACCAGGAACATAGGAATTGGACTTTTGTGATATTATCATTGATTGAAATTAGTCTATTTTAAGGAAATAGACTTAATAAACATTACAGTATTTATGATTTGTAGTGCATCTTGGTAAGCAGAGAAAAAAGAACAACTAGGCGCCCAGTGAAATGTTTTAAATTATACAGTAAAATCAACTCGGAATTTTAACACGGCTAATTTTTGTTATGAATTCTGACTGTTTATCGTCAGCGTGACATCGTTGAGCTAAATTTCGCCACAATTATCCATCCCCGTCGATATTGAGTCCTACTGGGGGAAATTGATTTTTATTTTGCTTACGAAACTATATATACGTGTTTCATTTTTCTTCAAGCCAGCTCTGATTTAAATACTTCATGGCGGCTGTTATGCTTTTATTATTGCTTATAAATTGATATCGCAACGACGCCAGCCTAACAATAAAATCCGAGCTATTTCATACGGGGTAAATTGCAAGAAATGCAAAAAATGCTCGGTCACTATCAACGACTAACATACCGGTCACTATCGAAACTAAGGATGAAAACGATTAATTACGACATAATTTGATTTTAGATTCATTGCCGCGGTAACCCAGATTATCTCGACTATGTTAAAATATACGATAATAATTGTAAAATATCTTCAATCAAAAACTTCCTCGACGTGTCATAAGTACTTCAAGTTGGCGCTGACTTATTTAGTCACGTGGTAAGATTTGCCGGTTACAGGCAGTTTGCCAACTGCATGGTTAGATCAAACTGATGTGAAAGTGAGATCAGCTGATTAAGTGATACAAGTTTATCCCTCCTGAATCCTTGCCAGAGTAGAAGATTGTGCTCATGGAAACTATCCCATAGCTCATAAATCATATTAAAAGTTATTGTTATTTTTAGCTACAAACAGCCCGACTTCTATATTGATATTTCAGATTTATGTGACTATGTAAATCATTTAATTGTGCCCTTTGTTCGTTGCAGACACGAATTTGTTATGCCTATTCTCCAACTCGAGTCCAGAAACCATAAATCCTATAGTTATTTCTATCCTAGGCCAAAACTGATTGAGATAATTATCGGGTCATATCCTGGGATTGTTTCAAAAAATACAAATTTTGATATAAAATAGGATAACGCGATTCCGAAAAGGTTGAAGAAACACTGATACAGGGTAGTGGTACTCTAACTGTGGATCTTCACCCCGGACGAGGTTACGTGAAGATTTTACGGGGTTACATAACTCCCGCTGAACATGTAATACGGCTCACACAAGTCACTAGGATTTGAAAGATGAAAAGAGAAATTTGTGGTCGGGTATAGTAGTAAATGCGATTGGGTGTTAGTGTTACGAGCGTCAATGATATTTCCCAGTGTATAGTTTAGTTGAGTATATTACATTATAATTGGAAGTGTACCTTGGTCCTAATCTGGCAAACATTTATCCATACGACTAAACCATTCTTTTTATTCGGTAGACTTCGATTTCCATGTTATAATCAAGTATCCGATTCTCGAATCTCGATTACTCGACATATCTTACCGAGAAAACATACCCACCTAAGCAATACCATATGAAATCAAACAAGAGAGCGGTGTTCAAATATATGGACGGACAAGAAGGCCAAACCTAAGTAGTATGAGGATCCAATCTGTCACAGGACACAAAATCGCACAAAAAAAGAATCCCTCAGAACCCACAGAGATTTCAGAAATAAATAAACATAAAAGCCTTCTAGCGAAATATATATATCGTCACGCTTATAACCGAATTGCGTAAGTCATTTTTGCCGGTTTTGAGTTTTTCATAAAATAGGTATTGATGTTATGCTGCGCACCTGTCTGTTAACTCAGATTTTATTTTGAGAATTCCGAAACCCATAAAAATAGAGATTTTGTATGATATGCAAATTTGTTCAATTGTTTCTTCATAATGAATTATCATTGTTAACGCATGACTATTGTGACGTCACAAAGGCAATATAACATCGGCGAAGGATTTTCGAGTTTTGCATCTCAGATTCTAGCTTAGCGCTTATAAATTTCAATTTCTACTACAGTATAGGAAGGCGTGCACTTGTGATATTCACTGTCTGAGTCCAATTCACCTTGGTTGGCTTTTATATAAGGGTACATTGCTGTTTTATTCTTTATATATATTTAACTTTAGTCTTAACTCGGTGGATGTGCAGAGCGTGTTGTATTGATGAAATATATATTTTTAAACATAAAAAATAATGTAATTGAAACGAATTAGCTATTTTGGGAATTAGACTTCGTATATACTAAGAATTACATTCGTTTTTGGATTGTTTAGTTTTCAGGACTGGTGCATATAGTAAAGTTGCAAAATTGCGTATGTTCCCAAGTCATAGACACATTTCTGCCTAAGTCACAGTGCGCCATTATGACGTCAAATTAACTTAAATCCGGCTACGATCAAAAAATTGAACCATGGCAAATTATTGACTCTCAATGGCATAGCAATATCATTAGGAAGTTTTTTACGTTTTTCTCAAAACTGCTAAAAATGACTTGCGCAATTCGGTTATTAGCGTGACGATATATACATATATATAGTTAAGTTTGCGGCATCGTAGCAACTCAACATAGCAGTAGAGCAGTTTTTACATATATGCAGTGCTGGGATTCAATTTCTTCGTCAGCCGGTTCCATCACAAACGTCATATTTTCAGCCGGTTCTATTACAAAAAGTCATATTTTTTAGCAAATAAACCAGTAATGCTAACCGGTTCGCTGATCTCATAAAATTCCGTTAGACGGTTTTATAGAACCGGTGCGAACCGGCTGAATCCCACCACTGCATATATGTGAAGGAATTGCCACAAAACGTTACACATTGTTTGCAATCTAAGGTTTAATCTCGAGAATCGATTCCAATGCATCGGAATCGATTATAGTCGATTCCGCGAAGAATCGATTCTGTAATCGAATCCGTACTCGATTTCGTCATCCCTAACTGTGGACAATCACTGAAGTAAATGGTACGCCAAAGTATGTTGTTTATGAAAAAATTCTTGCCAAATCGATAAAACTACTCTCTTTGCGTCAAACCATTCAGGTTGCGTCGATAAAACGGAAGAATATTTTCAACGTAAATTGGAGGCACTGTCAACGCAAGAAGGAGTCATGAGAGTTTTAGTACTGTAAATAAATACGCGATATCTCACGAATGCGAGATTGAATCTGCTCCAGATTTTGCATGTGCATTCATCATATGTCGGACCAGTAGCCTATTGATTTTGGATAAATATGTCGTATAATTAGCGAGTTATTAATTAATTAGTGATGGGACACAAAGTGTCACTATGGAGTAAGAGCGCTGTTTTGGGGATCCCCCAACTTTCGATCGTTAAGTCTTCGGTCTCTGACCGATATTCTTGTTTATTTCTTACGAAATAGCAAGTTTTCAAAAACTCACAGACGATATACAGGTGCATTGTTCTTTTTAAGATAAATATATAGAATATATAATCCTTCACGAATGGAGCAAAACGGTATTGAAAAAGACATACGTGTTTGTGTCTCACTGCAAATGCCACCAATTCTCTTTTAGAAAAAACATATGTTGAAAATATCCCTAGCCATTTCACCATCTCCTGATGGCTACGCCTATAATAGCGTCAAACGATCGCCTGCCTTATCCTTTGGGTTGCCAACTTCACGCACGATAGCTTTGCATATTATTGTTTTTTTTTAATATGTCACAATACATTTATTTTACATATATATATCACTTGGTGTCATAATAAAATGCACGAGTCCTATGATGTCATTGTGGTGGGGGCCTCACAAATACCACCCACTATTATTAATTTAAATAAATAAAAAGTTCGCGAACTTATAACAATGTCGTTTAAGTATATCGTTGGTCCATTTTTTGAAACAATTTATATACCAGTTCGTATAAAGTTGGATGACTTACGGTAAACGAGAGTAAAGCTCCATTAAATGAATTCTAAAGTACTAAATTTGTGTTACAATAAGATACTTACGCCAACCACTCAAGCATATTTGATAGTAACTTGTATTTTAAATCACTTTATGAAGCTGTAATAGAAGGCTGCCATACCCGCTCCTGGTCGCGAGAATTGATGCATGGCCCAATTATTTATTAAGAAATTTTAGTTTCCTCGTTGTTTCTTAAATTTGCATGACTATATATATATATATTCTTATATTAAAAAAGAAAAGACTTTAGTAGGGTAAAGTGATATAGTTTTTCAAATTGAGACTAATTCATATATTCGACCGACTAAAATTTGAGGCCCCCTGGGGCTTGAGACCCCTAGACTTCAGCCCACCTTGCCTAATGGCAAATCCGGCTGTAGTGTATTCTGCCTTTAGATCTTTATAAACAAGCACCAAGTTTCCATTACAACACCACTTTATTGTAAGAGTCAAGCACTTCAAAATTAAGACACCATAGCAGTATCAGACAAAACAGCAAGTCTTAACACGTGCACAGATATAACAACAATCACAGCCTCGGATATACCGATTATAGTATATTATAATATATAACGCTTTGTGATATATAAGGTCAAATTAGTCTCAACCCCGTGCAACTAACTTGTTCCATTATGGCGTCATATGGACGCCATTTCGATCATTCGGTTCGAGTAGTGTAACGCAAACAAGCCTAATTTTAGTAGTTTTAAAAGGCTATTGGGGCAGATTTATATCAGTAGTTATATTTCGAGGGCGCAGAAATCCGATAGGATGTCTCAATCAGTATCGAACCCAATACGGGGCACTCACATTAAGAATCCACGACGCTCGGTAACAAACATAATATAGACGCAACGCACGGTTAGTAAAGTAACGTTTATTTCGATTTTCCGTAACACTAAAACAAATATATAGACAATGCAAGTCAACACACACACATATAGCCTACAGAAAATCGGAAAAGTAGGCAAAATCTAAAACTATTCAAGACCTGCTGATGCTAGGGCTACCAACCGTCCCGGGAATGGCTGGGACAGTCCTGGAATTGACGTCTGGCGTCCCGGTGGTCCGGAATTTACTGACAACCAAGGCGTCCTAATGAGTGCAACAAAACCTCCATGATGATTTTTCTATTAGGATAGTAGACACACACAGTTTCACACTACAACAGGCTTAATTGACTAAAACGAACTAAACTTTTCGACAGTAAAGGCAACATCAATTGGGACTGTAGCTAAATATTGATGTCAATGTTACAATAGAAATTCGCCATTTTTAGACACTCCAGCTGCGTAATTGAATTGTACACGTCTTTACCAATGGCAGTACAACGAGAGAGAGAGAGTTTTATTATTTTGTCAACCAAAAAATACAGTCAGCAATAAAATAGCCAGCAAATAAAACTGTTTTGGTATGAACAGGAGGGAACGATACGGATATCGAAGTCGAAGTCAGCTCCCATCATATATGCTGAAGTGATTAGTATTAACACTGAAAGATGACTGGTGGCAAAACTTGAACTATGTAAAGTGTTGAATGACATTTAAATATAATGTTAAAATTCATAACACGTATGCAAAAAAATATTAACATATATATTCTCAAAAACACAAACGGGGCAAATAAAATCAAAGACAAGGCTTAAGACATACGGAGAAAATTAGTTTCTAACATGCACCTCAACAGCTTTATTAAAATGCCAAACAAAACAACGAAACTTTTATCACAGAAGGCTATACCGTTACCGGTACCTACCACGTTACCGTATCTCGTTTAATTTAATTTTAGCGTCACAGATATTCCGTCTTTCTATTTAATGCTACAAGATTTTATTACCTGTTTTCTTTGCTCTCAATATACACCGCGTCTAATTGAATGCCAGTGTTACGCCTTCAGAATCTGACGTTTATTGCCGACTGCTAGACAATGCGCATCACAATACAGCAATAGTATTGTTGTGACACAGTCCATTATTGCCATCTCCATGGTTACCAAGTTAGTGATGTTCAGAGTCGTGTTTTGTTGAAGTGAGCGACTGTTGATTATAGCAGATTGCCTCGAGATATTGTATGCATTTTATTTTCCAATTTACTTACACTTGTCACTTGATTCGACTTTTTCTTCTTTATAATATAGTGTCCAGAGTTATTTTATAGGTGCCGCTGCTCGATAACCACCACTGATTTCCCGCGTCCTTTTCATCCTGTAACATGGCCTATTTATAATTCATTGCCATTTGCATGTTTGCGCCTATTTAAACTATGGTTATATATAAACTACTTATTAGTGTTTATAGTGTTCGCAATCAGGCTATTTCTAGCCAATATATACAACACGTATCAGCATTTCAGACCTTTACTTACCCGATTAATCAGGGAATACCCTACGAGTTATCCGGTGGGATGGGATTTTCAAACCTGTACCGGTACATTTTATTCTTAAAACATAACTTCCGAGTTTCCAAATTAAATTAGATGACGAATCTTGGGTGTCGCTGCTCGATAACCAAATTTGGTTCCCCGCGGCTTCCCTTCCCCAGTAAAAATGTGTGTTAAATTTTGTTTATCTTTTGATTTTGTATGTTATTTTTTTGCTGGTTGGAAAAAATAAAATTGACTATGACTATGACTATGACTATATAAAACTGCGTTACTGGGAAGCGATTACACTGACCGATGGTGGGTATCACAGCGACAAAATTGTGATATCATGAGTAAACTAAAAGTATCAGCGATAGGGACTGGCAGTCCGGCATCCTCTGCTTATTTTCCAACAGATATCGCAATTTCTCACACAATGTTGCCAATCTAAAGATAAATTAAAAACTTAGTTCTGTAGTAAAATATAGGAAACGGATTACATTGATCTTTCACTATGCTTTTCAAAAAACTTGGATAAATACGGTAAATGTTTTATTTCGAAAATTCCATATTACCCCTAAAATTAGAGAATTCTGAACAGGCAATGCAGGATAGGCAATGCAATTTTCTGATTGTACAATAAACCTTGAATTCCGACTTTTCAGTGGGGCTTAGGCACATTTAAGGCGTGGCCCTGTAATATTATACATAGAAAGGGGATTTCCCTTAGAACAGCTGTGATTAGAAGTAGCCTAATGTATTACAAAGTTATGTTTTCGAATAACCTTAACTAAGATTTAGGATGATAAATACTTTTGTTGGATATTTATATATTTAATTGCATTGCTGTTTCCCATAACTCTTTTGTTATTTCTGAAACATATCTTAGACGTCGAACGATACGACGATGTCGGCGTCGGGGATTTACCTTTGGAAATACCCTTAATCGCGACCGAAATATCGGATCTATGTTTACTTGGTCTTTGTTCGCAATCACGCCTTTTATACAGTTTAAAAGTGTTGCTTTATCATACAGGTGGCTACTCCAAATTAATATTTAACCACTGAAGCTTGTTGGCAGGTAAAATAATTGTCTGGAGCATTTGTATTATAAAGCACGCATATAGATTTTCTATAGATGTAAAAGGAAATAGCCATTTATTCTGACATATGAGGAAGAGGTATAGTTATAAGCTATATCAGGGGTTTGCAGCCTTTAATACAAGAGGGCCAGATACAAATAACTGGCTGAAACCTCGGCCGCACCTTTATGTAACATTGACCTTCTTATAGTTGCAGGCACAAACATAATCAGATATTGGTTAGTTATCTTATGGCATGTGTTGTTGATATCTCACAAGCTAGTTGTTAGTGCATTGTCACATCATAGGCCTGTAGGCATGGATAATAAATTGTACTCCAGATTGAAATTACTCGCACTTACCAGATTAAACTAATTAAAACTAGTTTCGTGGTCCACATACTGACATACCATTAAAAATTGGCACTTCACACACTTTTTTGTGGGCCACATTTGGCCCACGGGCCACTGGTTACACACCCCTGCGCTATATGATTGACTGCTTCAGCCATAGGTTGTATTAATTATTAGGGAATTTGATTGATTGGGAAGTTTTCTATTTGTGTCCAAATTTACCAACTGGTAAATTCAAGACTACAAGGTGATTTCGGAGGGGATTTTCATTGAGAATATATATCATTAGTAAAAAACACTGTAGATATGTTTTTATATTTACGGTTCCTCCTTAAGATGAAAAGTGATTGATGGGCCTTGCGTTTTTATTACAGTTTCATAGTGTTTTTCTCTGGTCTACTGGGCTGGGTTGCTTAGATCCTGGGCTTTAATTTCAACAAGCAATTCTTGTTTTGAAAGAAATCTTTTATACTAATGGTAGATGCTTTGATTGACTGTTTGTGATCTGCTTTTGAATGTTTTTCATTGCTTCCCATTATGGAGCTTGGAGAAACAATAAACTATAAGTTTGTTGGAAATAAAAAAGAAATCAAAGTTGGGCCAGTGATTGGAGATGGGACCCAGTCGAAGATATATAAGTATGCTATTTAATTAAACAGTTGTATAAAACGGTATATAAACAATATACCGGTATATGAAAGAATAATTTTAGTATGACAATGCATAAAGGAAAACTTTAATCATGAAGCAGTATCTTCATGAATATTTGCACCAACTTATATTTATCCAATATTTCATTCTTGCAATTGCTTACCAAGCCTGTATTAAATAGATTATCATATATAGTATATTGGTGAAATGATTATACTTACATATGCCCATTTGACCTTATACTGATAAATTATGCTATATTGTTTTCTTTGGTATGCTGAAGGGTTAAGTTTTATAATTTGAAAATGGCACCAAATACATATCGTGGGGTTAGACTAGGTATAAAGCGAATTTCAGTTGTTATGTCCAAATGAATGCCCTCTTTATTAGATATTCAACTTGCTATATTTTGTATCATGGTAAGAGAATCACACGACCAATATTTTTTTTCATTCAAATCATTACTATATTTCATTTTTATTTCATAGGGGGGTGTTTGCGAAAAAATTTGTTGCTGTGAAAGCAATGCTTTATGACCGAGATGCTGTGGAAGTTGAAATTCTTCGAAAGCTAGATCATCCGAACATCATTAAAATATTCTTTACGGTATGTTCTTACAAGAGCTACATGATGCTGCGATGTTTTTTGGCAACTTGTGTTTAATAGGGCCCACATGAGCATAAGTGAGAATTTAAAAAAAAAAAAAAAAGGAAAGAAATTGCCCTTCAAATTTTTCAGACGCCTAATTTTAAAATCCACTGGGATTTTGTCTTCTTAGCGTTTAATTGAAAAGTCACATCCAATTTTCGAAAAATTCATATCCAAATATCATTACAAATTTTTGTAATCCCATAATTCGTTCATAAAAAAAACTTTTTAAATATAAGTCTCAAAGTTGTATGACACAGCTACCGATAAGTTTATTAATAAATAAGTGGTATTTTATTTGCTTTACGTAAAATCCTTTGTATTCATTTGTATTCTAATTGTTTGCCATTATAATGATACAAATGGGATGTGAGTCAGTCGGGATGCTTGCTATACCTGTCTGTAGTCATTCATATTATTATTAGTCAATGCCACAAGGAAGTAACTGCCGATGACGTAGTAATATTATATTTTGTTTGTGCACATGACTTTCCCTGGGTAAATCTTTTTTATTTATTCTTTATTTATATATTATATTTAGGACAAAGATGATATCACACAGTTCATCGCATTGGAGTTGTGTTCTCACACCTTGAAACAGGTAAAAAATAACCCAATCTAAATACAAAAAATCTTTTTAAACTCACAATGATGTGTAAATAAATTTTTTTAGTATGTGGAGGAAATTTCCCCAAGAATGCTCAATGAAATTGAAGTGTTAAAACAAATTACCAAGGGATTGAATTACCTCCACAATGGACAAAAGTATTGCACAGGTATTTATTCATGAAAATTCTCTCCTTACTCCTTATGATATATATATATATATATATATAGGTATCATATTACCAGTATGTGTCATATGTCTGATCTGATAATATGTGCTCTGAATTAATGTGGAATAAATTTCATTTCCTGATGTATAGATAGCTTTGATATAATTGCCTTAAAAAGATAGCAAGGATGTTAATCATTGCAACAGCATTCTATATATTCTTGAAAAAATAAGAAAAAAGTGTACAAATGCCTCAGTTTTAAGCCAGCAACTTAAGTTTGTGAAATTATGGAATGGAGACATACTTCAATCTATAAAATTGTATTTTTATCCCAGCAGAGTTGAAATGCATCAAGCTCATCTAATTATATAGCGAAATGCCATCTCTTATCTGTTGTGAATTCATATAAGAAAAAATGTGCTTGGTGGAGGAAGATAGAAGCAATAGATTATGGGAACCAAACTGCAACAAATAAAAATCCTTTCATCTTTGCAATTATCATTCTTCATGAAATTCAAATCGGCATTGTGATAAACTGTCACAAGTAATCTTAATTCTTGTACAATGCATTTTAATAATAAGGCATTTAGTAGATAGTCATTGTGATAGTTCAGATATCCCTTTGATTACTTAGAGTTTGACTGAATAAGGGTGAGCATATTGTATGTGACAACTTGCTGAAAAATAGTAATAAATATTAAAAAAAATAATGAATCCTTGATAGAAATCATATAGTGTTACATATAAACCCTGACTCTTAGTTCACAGAGATCTGAAGCCTTCAAATATTCTTTTTCAATACGTTGATCGAGAAAAAATCTGGAGAGTAAAAATATCTGATTTCGGTATAAGCAAAGAATTTTATAGTGGTAAGACATCAACTCACTCTAAATTGAAAGGGACGAGTGGATACACAGCACCTGAACTACTTACGATGTTTGACGATGTCGATTCCCAGGCTGGAAAAATCAGGAAGGTATACACTGACAATATCGTCTTTACTCATCTTGGCAAGAAATGCAAAATTGCCTCGTAGACCATACTCAATATATGCTCAATTTCATCAGAGATGATCTGATATTTTATTTTTGTCCACTGATATATTAATTATGACTGACAGTTTTTAAAACATGGAAGAAAAACTTATAAGGCCCTTCTTATATCGAAAATCTTGACCAGTTCAGATATGGCAAATCATTCTAGATGCGTGGCTAGTGGAAAACCCGGGAACTAACTTTACTGCATGACAGCACTTCTTCTGTTCATAACCATCTCCCATGAAATTTCCAGCTTAAACTGATATCCGCTGGTCGGTTACCTCCACCATCAAGTCCATGCTTCTGGAACAAATAACTGACTAACTAATCCCATACCCAACAGGAACTGGTAACAGCATGAGATGCCGGGGTTTGCCATGATGATTGAGCCCCTTATTCGGCTTTCCTCTTCCCCGGGATAAATATGCAAATCATATCCTAACTTAGAAGGCCAAATAGATGTAGCAATTTGCAGTACGATTAAGCCTTATTATCACTTTTTCTCTCTCAGGGATAAACGAGAAATCTTACTCTCATTATTGTAATCTTATCTTACTCTCATTATTATTTATAGATGGATTTTCGTATGTCTCTGTGAAAATTATTGAAGATGCTATTATGTATAGTCTGAAGTGTTTATATTTACTATATAGCTTTGGAAATATGGTATTTTTAATTTTCACCCATTCAAAGAAATTGCCTCATTGTCACGATTTGATTCTTGTCTAACATAAAATAAAATTAATTTGAGGAAATTATAATTAGCTCTAAGCCCTTCTTATTCTTTCTCTTTTTTTCGCACTTTTTATTACTATTAAAAAACATTGGGATCTGCGGAATTATGTGATGTTCCCTTTTCTTGTTCCTTGTAAATTTTATTCTTATTCTAGTACTTTTGTGGAATTGATTTCTGAGGCCTCTTAAATGGGCTCAACACTCAAAAATTTATTTTCCCCCTATTGCAATTATGATGCCTGCTTTAGAGTGTCCTGTCCTGGAAGAATCTCTCCTTAGGGGTCGGTTGACCTTGGAAGTCTTGCTCGTCTCCTTTCGTATATATTTTTATGCTTATTGTTGTTTGCTTATGCTTACTGTATTACGTACTCGTATCGGAAATAAATCATTATCTGTCTATTGTATTAAATATAAATTCAATTTAAAAGAAATTCTTAGGGGCTCCCGAAGTATGCGAACCAAGATGACGGACATCGGAATGTAATATGTGTACTAGGTTAGGGTTAGGCCATAATTTTAGGTATAAATACTACGGGAGGCTCTTGGCTAGTCTTCGAACTGATAATAGGACTAAAATAAGGAAAATTGGAAAAAAATTATCGCCTAACCCTAACCTGTTACCCATGTTACGTTCCGATGTCCGCCATCTTGGTTCGCATACTTCGGGAGCCCCTAAGAATTTCTTATAAATTGAATTTATATTTAATACAATAGATAGATAATGATTTATTTCCGATACAAGTACGCAATATTATATTTTGTTTGTGCACATGACTTTTCCTGAGCACCAATTCTTATCTTGTATTGTAATGATAAAATATGTATTTTTCATTTTTATACTTTGTTTGCTTCATAGGAAACTGATATGTTTTCTCTTGGTGTCATCTTCTATTACACTTTAAGTGATGGCCATCATCCATTCAGTGATAATCAATATGATGTTGATGCGAAAGTGCGAGATGGTGAACCTTCTCTTGACTATCTCAAAGAAGAGCGTGAGTGATGAATATCTGTATTAAGTATCTGGCTAAATGTGGGAAAATACTGCTCTCGCGGAGAGTGAAAGAGCAAACAAATAGGATGAATGCAAAAAATAAATCATCAAAGACAAAACAATGATTCTTCCCAATAAAATAAGCCTTTTGTACTACATAGCATTATCCTGAGTATTTACTGAACACAGCCTTTTACAGATGATTCTTGAATAAACTTGAGGAAAAGGGTATGCAACTCAGGATTTATCATATCTGTGTACTTGTCAACCTTTACTTTGGATAACAAGTTTGTATTTTTTCATCTTTCACACCATTTTTTAATGTTTTTAATATACAGATAAAGAAGCGACTAAAAGTCTTATTCTTTCGATGATAAACAAGAATTATAAGGAAAGAATTCCAGTTAAACAAGTCAAAGCGCATCATATTTTCTGGGATGCCAAGAAAAAAATAGACTTTCTACAGGTGAAAACTAGTTATTATTTAATTCTTGCTTTTATTGCATTCAACTTTGTATTAGTTAACAACAGCCTCACTTTTCCACTGGCAACAGGTTCAATTTTTTGTTTTGTTTATTCATATCCAAATTTTACTTAAATTGTTCAAAATGAAGATGGAAAGAAAGCAAGTACTCAATTACCGGTAATATTATGTTTTTTATAGATTGCATCAAACTTCCTTGAAAATCGCCAAAAACATGATGATGTTATTAACCAACTGGAAGAAAAATGTGAGGAAGTAACTGGTGGACAATTTTGGAAGGACGTGATTTGCAGTGAAACAAACAACCCAGAAGTAAAAAGAGTCATTGAAAAATATAAAGGCTGGGAGAAGAAAACAAAACTTCAAGACTTGTTGAGATCTATAAGAAATTGGGTAAGTATGCTTTACTATGCAATGAGAGCAGTCCTAAGCAAGCAGTGAGTCACTGTTGTTGATATGATATGTTTTCATATCTAAGAGAAGCTGCAGTGAAGATAAGAAAGCTTAGTCATATGCTAGCTAAGGTATCCTGGCCAGTTTGAAGTTCAGGCTATGCATAGGAATTGTAATCATGTTTAAAGTTCCTACTATATGAGCATATATGGTGGAGCTAACTATATGTGACCAGCAGTTATTTGAACCACCATATAATAGCAAGAATTTCGGCATTTTTTTGTATATGATTATCTAACATTTGATAACAAATTTCAACATATGTATGAGGAAATCAGCAGCATTGTTGTCTTTGTTGAATGAATATTGATTATTTGATGTGTGTGAAGTATTTTAGGCATGATATGACTCCTAATATTACAAAATTAGTATGTGACATCTTGTCATTGTTGAAAAAGTTTTACCGGTATGTGAAATGTTGATAGTGATTTTGCCATGTTATGGAAATTTTTTACCACAGGTAAATCCAATATTAAGTTATCAGTTGCACACTGTTATTCTATTGTCTATTTATATAAATTATTACATATCTTTAAAATGAAATGGTGACTGGTTTATGTTACTGGAATTCTATGATGAACAGGAAACATATAGGGTCCTATGTTTATTACTACAGTCTCAGCATTATCATGACCCTAAGACCACAGAGAAATTCAAAAAAGAGGTTGGAGAATATGAGGCCGGTTTTGTGAAATTCTTCATATCTCATTTTCCAAAACTTCTTCCAGTTACTTTTGATGTTTTGAGAGGACAGAAGGACGAAGATGTTTTCAAAAGATATTACTTTGGCACTGGGTAAGTGTTTTAACACCGTAAATAAAATACATGGAAAACAGGAATATACCTTGTCCTAAGCGAATGTGCAAACACCACACACAAAAAAATTGAGCGAAAAAAGTTATTATTTGTTATTCAAATATACATGCTCAGCTTGACGGTGTAGCGCATTTTGCTGCGCATTAGGAATTCGCTTGCCACCAAACCTCCGATTACCTGTGTGGGTTCGCAGGTTCGGATCTTGTGGGGATAATTATGTACAAGAAGATTACTGGGCTCCTCGCCGCAATAGGGTGGTTCACAGCTTCCTCCACCATCAATTCATGCATCTGGCTAACCAATCTCATAGACGATGTAGACTGATAACTGGACGATAAGCCATGGGTTTTCCATTTGATTGAGCAGTCGTTTCGCCTTTTCTTTTCCCAAGGATAAATGTGTAAATCCTATCATTAATTCTACTTATATGATCATTCTTTTCACAAAGGTACCATGGAGTAAAATTTTAACTTTCGACTATTACCTCAAACTTAATTTTAATAATCTTGATAACCTTACATTGATTCCAAAACTCCAAAACATGCAATGTATTGTGTGAACGAGTTTTTCATTCCACTTATTAACCTATTCAGTGATTTGTACCTTTCTGGCATCTCATCACATCTCTATGTCCATACTTAGTGGCAGTTGTCATGTAAAAGACATTTTCAATTTTAGTAAGTTAGGGTTTGAAATCTTGCTCCACACGACTTTGACTGCAAGTCACATTTTTTTTGAATATCAGGGATGTGGAAACATATGAAATGCAGATTGATGAGAAAATGGAAACCTCACTCGGTGCCGGTGAGTTTTTGTACTATTTTATAGTAATTATATTCAATTGGTATGGTCTTGACCAGACCTGGCCAATGCCCAGCTCTGAGCAGTGTTTAAGCCACTTTGTAAGGAAGCAATATCCATAGCTACATAAAACAGTTATAAGACTACTGTACCACATTTTAATAGGATTTTTTAGTGTTGCAATTTTTGGCAAACTTTTCTATATCAAGTTTCCACACAAATTTACCAGTAACATATATATAAGAAAACTTCAAAGTTTCGAATTATTTATTAACTATGTTAGTTTTTAGGTATCTACTACAGACTGACTTATTTCCAGATATCAGTTATTTATACCATTTAAATTTTTCCATCATATAAATGCTAATCTTGAGCTAAATAAACTGAATTCAAAAAAATTATTTATAATACTGGTCACAAGGGTTCATCTTGGATTTAGCTATGATAAATATTAGCTTGTCTGTGCTAGTTTTAATTCCGTCTTTATTTAACACCCAATTATTTGTGTTCTTGCAGAGGCTTATGGAACAAGAATGGAAATGGGTGAAGCCGAGAACTTGGATGATGAGGATATTTTGCCTTCTTCGGTGTGTTTTCATTTGATTGATTTCTATAATGAATTTTATTGTGAATTATATAGCTAATTCTCTTTTTGAAATTTTTTGCTTTCTTTTAGGATGAAGAAGATGCATCAAGTCCAGGTTTGTTTTATTAATTCTTGTTTTAGAAATTCCTTTTTCAAATATTGAACCCTAGATTTTTAGCAGATAATGCCAGTGGGCTCAACCTTAGAAATTTTGCACATAAACTATGCTAACAAAAACATCCTTAATACGCTATCCGAAATTGTCCAAAACAATTACTTTTATCCAGGGTTATTTGATAGTGTAATGGAGTGTAACTGCGTTTAGTCTGTTGAACTATAGAAAGGGGAGCATTATGTCTGGAGTTGAACGAATACCTTGGGTTTTTGAAATCAAATTGAAAGCCTTTGTCATGGGTTGTGATTTGGTATTATGTTAAGAAGTCAATGTTTTGTTTGACTGTTTTTAAGTCCTCGTGCCTGTGACATATCCAGGTTTAGGCCAGTTACACCCCAATTCTACATGCTTGAGACTCTCTTAGTCTCTCTGTGTTTGTACTATATGTCAATTAAGGAAGCGGAATGATATTAACACAATTTGATCCTGAATATGTCCATAATGTTAATTGCATCATTGAAATGTGATAAAAAACAAGATGGCAGTGATTTCAAAAATAATCTGTGCCAATTTCAATAATTAAGCATATATTAAATTTGATATACTTGATATATATAAATGCCCTATTGGATAGGTTTCCATTGGTTTTCATTGTTTCCATCCTGTGAAGGTATTCTAGTCAGTGCTATTATGTTCTTTTATTGAATGTCGTAAAATCAACAAAATTGTTTCTATTTGTTATAGAAGAGCCGGTGAAGCTCACTCTTCGGGGATACCAAAAAGAACTGGCAGAACAAGCACTAGCTGGAAATAATTCATTGATTATTGCACCTACTGGTTTGTATTTTTATTTGCTATTTTAATATATTTATTTGAATTCTTTACTTGATAATTGATTTTAAATTTAGTATTATTATACAAATTTGTGTTTTAGGGTCTGGAAAAACAGCCGTTGCTAGTGAAATTATCCAAAATCATTTGAGAAGTGGAAAGTCAAGAGGCATTTTATTCTTGGTATCAAAAACAACATTGGCTCGTCAGCAGTATGAATTTTTTTCTAGGTTCGTAAAATTTTAGAAAAAATATAGTTGCATGGTCAAATTTGTATCTTTCAGCATTTGTTTTATTAGAACAGGTTTCCTTTTTCTTTTCTTATTTTACTCTGTGCTATTTTTGAATTTTTATATTTAGGTATTTACGTGACGACTTGAAAGAAAGTGAAGCAGCTTACTTGATTGGAGAAATTGCTACAAATGCTGCTGTTGGAGCAATAATTAAAACAATGAAATTGACAGTATTAACTCCACAGATTCTTATCGATGAGTTGAACAGGTAACATAAGTTTACTCAATCAAAGAGATACCAACAAGTTTCATCCACTGGAGAATATTATAATTTCTCTGATCATCAAAGGATTCTGGTATTTTCCGCATATTCCTTCTTATATTTCTTACTTCATATTATTATTGGAGCATTAATTAAAATGAGCTAAGTAATTTTTTTTTTGTATTTGTCATGGTGCAATAATTGATAATATACATTCACGAAATGTTGCTCGAACTTCCAATGAGGTTTTAGCATGTAGGTGGGCATGAATATAGGTAAAAAAAATAATGAGGTACTCAGGGTTGTTCAAAACGAATCGAATATTTGAATGTATTTCAAATTGTCGGGACACCTACAAGACTTCTGATTTACACATTCATTCCCATTACGTCGAAAAATTGAAAATTAATTAAAAATTGAAAAGTAATTGAAGCCGTAATGGTTACAAGACCCAATAAATTGCAGCAAGTTGGAAAACTTTTCCCGCTTTTTGGCAAGTAATTTTGACAATGATAGCTTCAACTTTTTACGTGGATAATTTTCTATTGCACAAAATATACGAATCCATGACCGATACCATCATTCAAAATTATTATGCCCTATTAATTTAATTTTGTTCAACGTAACTCACAGTTGCGTCGACAATCTGTAGAAAATAAAATGTATGGTAAACTACCCGATATTATTAATTTCTGATTCGTATTTACAAAAAAATAAACATATTATTGCAATTAAATACCACGGCCATCTGTGGACATAAAATGTGTGGTAAATTGCCGATATTATTAATTTTTGATTTCTTCTTTCGTGTTTACAAAATAATTAATGTGATATTACTCTAAAACACACCGGCGATCTGTGGACTGGAAATGTGTGGAAAACTGCCCGATATTATTCATTTTTGATTCGTATTTACTAAATAATAAAAGTAATAATAAGATTCTAAAATACTATGGGAATTCGTGGACACATAATGTGTGGTAAACTTCCCAATTTACCAACATTTGAGTTAAATTATTAGAATTAAATTAATACGGCAAAGCATTTTAAATAGTGGTATTGATGATGGATTTGAATATTTTGCGAAACACAAAATCATCCTAGTAAAGGACCCATACTTTCAAATACACACCATTATCCAAATTATTTGCCAAAATGCAGGATGAAGTATAAATTATTTTTCCGACTTTTGGCAAAAAATTCAAATCCATGACCGATACCACTATTTTAAATGCCTTGCCCTATTAATTTAATCCTGATAATGGTATATAAAATATATATATCGCAGTAATCTGCAAACAAGAAATGCATGGTGATATAGCCAGGTTGTAGATAACAGTTATTCCATTGTCTATTGAATGCTAATCTCTCCATACACTTACTCAAATCAATTACTTGATTTTATTTTCGAATGTATTCGAAATTTCATATTCGAAAATAATAATTTCGAATGTATTTGAAATAGTGAACTATTCGGTATTGGCCATTCCTGGCAGGTACTCCAAAATCAGGCTTCAAGCTTGTGAGAATTGTGACATCCTATCAGCATTTTTTTATCGATTTTATTACATAGGTCACATTCTTTTGTATCAATCGATGATATCTCATTGATGATATTTGATGAATGCCATAATGCCAGCAAAAACCATCCTTATAAAGTCATCATGGATATGGTACTGGATTTTCGCATGGATTCACCAAATTCTCTCCCAGTTCAGGTATTCATTCTCGTGTAAAGCCTTATAACTATAGATATAAATATTTGCATTAAAAAAACTTTTTCTGGATTAGATTGTTGGAATGACAGCATCACCCGGAGTTGGAAAAGGAAAGACACGAGATGTTGTTTTGGATAACTTGATAACTTTGCTGGCAAACTTGGATGTGAGACTTTGCCCTGCTATTGTAGAAAAGAACACTGATGAACTGAAACTCCATCAGAATGAGATTGAAGAAAGTAATACTCAATATATATCTTTTGTGCATTTTTTTCTGTCTAATCTAATCTGTCTGAGATAGTTTCTATATATTTACTTTGTGGAGGAGGTAAATGAATAAATTGTTTTGAATATATAATGCAGGGGTGGCCAGCCTGCTTTCGACTGCGATCGATAAAAATCTTCAAAAGAGCACGCTATCGACTGATAGATAATAAGGTCGTACACAAAAACGAATGAGTACTAAATATGCAGATAACTGCACACACACATACAAAAAATTTAACTGCTGTCAATAAGTTCGGCTCCGTGGATGCATTTTGAATGAATTCGCCACAAAAATTTGTATTTTGATGTTCCATATAATTGGATTATGTAATTGTAACTGATGTAAATTTGTCCTGTTTCAAAACACACAACAGAGGCTGCATGAAACTGGTTCAAGGCAGTTTGTGAACCATGGTTTCACATCTAATCAGAGAGTTTTCTCTAGTGAGATTTCGTCTATTTTGTTTAGTTACATTAAACACCATATTATTATTTCTATCACACAGGTTATGTCAGAATAAAAGTGGAGGGTGACAGGTTCACTCGCAAAATATTGGAAGCTATGGGTCTGATTGAAGCTAGAATGGCTAAACAATTAAGTGTTGATTCTAAAGGTAAATATACAGAATATGCATTTGCACAAATTTTAAGTTTATTTTTTTCAGTGATTGCATTAATAGGTTTCAAATATAATGTCTTACATCTACTGCAGGAAAGCAATACAGCAAACCACCAGGTGAGAAAGACAAACAAGCTTATGAAAGTTGGGTTGTCAGTCTCATGAGATATGTGCGGGAGAATGTTACTGACCGAGACATATCAAGAATTGTTCTTACTTATGCGGATCACTTGAGGGTAACATTTGCTACTTCTACTTTTGTATCATTTAACCTTTTACTGCTTTGAGTGATAATCTTCGAATGCAGGGTTCTCGCTGTGGTCCATGATTATCTACAGCTTTTTCGTGGCCATTTTTTAATAGATAGACGATGCATCAACACCATTTGAATACATTTGAATTCTCAATATAAGAGCAGGTTTCAAACTACAATTTTGTGTATATTTCAATGCTTTTTGTTATAAAATTTATTGGGGTATTTTGCGATTTTTGATTGGAGAATCTCAAAGGCTTTTTTCAGATGTCTGATGGGAGAATATCTGTGAATTTATGATAACCTCAACCAGTTAGTTATTAAAGCACAAATTAACAGTTTCACAAACTGTTTACTACAAATTGTAGGAGCTGAGTCCTTCGAATCTGTGAATGTTTCATATTGAATGTTGAAATGTTTTTTTTTATTGAATCGCTATATATAAATCCATATTAGCATAGTCACAAAGCTCATTTCTATGTACCAATTTTTGGTGTTAACTTTTTTTTTCATGATGTAATGTTTGACTCTTCTCATCTTTGTATATTATTTACTGTTAGACTATCATGGGTGTCGCTGCTCGTTAACCTGTTTTGGTTTCTCGCGCCACCTCTCACCCTGAATTGCCATATTCAAATCTCTTCATTCTATTTTTTGCATAAAGTGTATTTTCTTTATAGTGATAAAATAGATACTGATTACTGATTATTTTTGTAGATACATATCTATGCAAATATAAACTGAATGTCACCAGCTGCGACAAACCTATCATGGATGTCTTCCATTAGACAATTTTCTTATTTTATTTTATTTCTAAGTTTTTATTTCATGATATGGCAGGAGTTTGGTCTGGGTAATGAGCACTGAAAATTTCATTTACCCGTATCACAACACAAACACACAATTTACTTACTGTTGTTGTGTAACTAATGAATTTGTTCCACAGATGTATTCAAATCTGTTATATTTGAAAAAACATATACCAAATGCTATGGAGATCACTAACACTTTGGCAGAGTTTGATCAAGAAGGAAGTGTAGGACAGTTTTTGAGGACAATAAGAGCAAGTATGGTCTACATTAGTGATATTATGTAATGCTGTAGTCTGTAGTTGTATAAAAATTTTTATATTTCTTCGTGTATGGAATACCATGGGTTTAAAGGAATATTATTCATGAACTTTACTTGACTTTACCTTAACCTTGGTATTAAATTTGATTTAAATTTTGTCAGTGATTATTTTATTTTTTTTGTGAAACAGTTGGTTAATGTATTTTTTCTTGTATGAAACTATTTATAGAAAAAATTATTACATTTGATATGTTAAGAGAATTAGTATTTCAATAAGTGCTGATAATTAAAAGATTTGATGTTATTTCTTCCTAAGCATTACAATAAGAGTTCTAATCTATATACAAAAGCAGGCCTGTGAAGTATGACTCTGTATAGCATTTTTGGATATTAATAAGTCGGCAACACATACAGTATACTGTATTACAACTTTTAGTTGGTAGTATGTATTTCAGAATCATGTAAGTCAGTGACAAAATTTTTTTTGAAACAGAATGAGGTTGACCAATACACATATTTTTGTAGCTGAAATTTTGTTGTCTTGAAATTGGAAGCGGTGTCAAAGTTTTTGTTAATTCCGAAAATTTCTGGAGATTAGACGAAAATTTCTCTAGCTTCTAGGCCTGCATAACAAATAGCATTTTATCATATTGAAATCAATTTCAAGACTTTCAGATAAAATCTGATGATATAAAAATATCAAAAAACGCAACCAATGATTGTTAGGTGTGTTAAGATTACTTTCAATTTTAGAATTGGAAAGTGCATCTCTGAAATCAAATGTGCCTATGATGGATAAGTTGTTTGGTATATTAAAAGATGAATTTCAAAAGAATGAAAGTTCTAGATGCATTATATTCGTACCACGGAAATTAATTGCTCCAGCTATTGTTAACTGTATAAAAAACAATAGAGAGCTTGCTCATCTTGAACCTGAATACTTGACTGGGAAAAATGAACAAGCTGCTATGGGTGGTAGGTATCTGGTATATTCTCGCATTAATTTTCATAATTATCTGACTGTTATCTGAAGTTGAACATAATTTGAACTTAGCACTGTTACATTATTTCTTTACATTGTTATAAATTTCTTTAATCGTGCAATGCTCTTTCATACATTTACCTATTACAAAAATCATTATAAATATCAAGTGTAATGTTTGCACCAAATGAATTTTATTTAAAAAAGAGATCAGAGATCAGAAAACCCTCAGAGATCAGAAAAGCCTCATAATTCATGGGTGTCAATAAAGCAATGTGTGCGAATTCCTGGAAGAAATGTACTACATTTCGTCTCTACTTCTGTAAAACGTTAAACAGTTGAGGTGAAATATGTTTCCATATTTGCTTTCTTTTGGTTACTCAGGTATGACCAAAACAAAACAGGAATCAGTTATTAAAGCATTTCGAGATGGCGAATGTAAAGTTTTGGTTGCAACCTCTGTTGCTGAGGAAGGCTTGGATATTCGAGCTTGTAATCTTGTTATCATGTACAACTATGTGACTGGTGAAGTTGGAAGAATTCAAAGAGCAGGTTACAAATAGTATAGTATAAACATCCATTCAGATAGGTATATTGTAATATTCATCATACTAATTTGAGAATGGTAATTAATAATACACTGTGTACCATAATAACATATAAGATACATACCGTACTAATATAATGGGTAAATTTTTCTTCAATTCACTAAAGAATTTTGGTAGAATGGTAGAATTATTTTCGATTGACCTATTACAGTAATTCCCAACTCGTGCGTTTGTCGATTTGGTCCCATGAGAAGAGTTTTTTCAAACTATTGCATGGACATTGAATGGTAGTTAAGAAACTGAAGCAGAATTAATTTTGTGTATTTGAAATGTTCAACTCCACTCCCTCTAGGAAGAGGAAGGGCTGCAAATAGCAGATCAGTGCTTATTACTCCACAAGATACTGAGCAAATTCAAAGAGAAAAGATGAATGCTATTTGTGCTGTAGCAACTGAGCAAGCCATTAAAGATTTGAATCGGCTTTCAGATGGTGAACGTACATCACGGGTCAGTTTAAATGGCATCTTTTTTTTTTGATATTCATAAAATTAAAAAATATCAGACACTCATTTTATGGAGTTTATCACAACACTAACTCTGTGTCACTAATACTGTTTATACTGCTAACTTCTACACTGTTTGTATGATGTCTTGTTGCATTGACATAAGATTAGCCATATAGTTATGCGTAGTTATAAGTGTTATGTGATGTTTGCGCCTTATAAGATAATAGTAGTTGGCGGATAGTTTCTCTTAGAAAGTTATTCTTCCATTCGTTTTGATAAATTTTCTATTTTGAATGAAAAATTAGTTCATCTTTATTTTGAAATTTCATTGAAATGTTGTTTTTCAGATTAATAATGAGCAACAGAATCAAAGAAGAGATAGGCAAAGAAAAATTATGGATACTAAAAGGCTCATTCAGGAAGCTGGTAATTGGCAAATCCTGTGTGGTGTTTGTCAAAACTTCATAACAATGGCAAACAAACTACGCCACATTAAAAATCAGGTTAATTACCTTTTAATGGTTATGATGTGCAAATAGTCTTAGAGGTTTTTCAAATTGCTATGTAGCTTGTATCAGATTGAATCGTTTCTCAAATGGATTTCTAGGATATTGAATTTTTTGAATAATTTCCAGCATAGGTTTGTTGTTGATCCTGAATTTCAAACAAGAATACTCATGAATAAATGTGAACCAATAGTTGTACCCTGGGGACCATTTGAGCAAACAGCAACATTTACCTGCATAAACAATGAATGCAAGTGAGTTAAGTTTTGTATTTTTACATGTTAATTCATTGTTGCAGTTTTTCATAAATTCAATTGCCATCTATTTTTCAGAAACTATTTAGGTGTGGAAATGCAATACAGAGAAAAAACATATCCAACTCTATCAGTTGACAGGTTGATCTTCAAGGATGAAATGGGTAATCAAAAGACAGCAAGACAGTGGAGCAAGTGCCCATTTGCTGTTGAGAAGGCAATGGATGAAGTTGATGATGTGGAGCAGGCTGATGTTCAAACCGTTAAAGAATTTGCAATTTCTCAAGCAAAGTCAGTATCCAAAGGATTCAATCCAGAGGATATTTCTGAAGAAGAGAGAAAAGAAGTGATGGCAATGGCAAATGAATAAATGTTTGGAAAATTATATGGATGCTTCGTTGTACATTTGATTTATTTACTTTATTCACTGATTGTCCTCGGAACCTATCTATGCTCAAGAATTTTTCCAGGCCCGTAAATGGAATGATAAAATTTCATGGATTGTATGGCTCAGCTGAAGTGCATTTAATTTTTCATCAATGTATTTTTATACCCAAGCAACATTTTATTGGTGTATTATGAATAAAGTAAAAATGAAGCAGTAAAGATTATAGTATTACCACAGTACAAATATGATATCGCACAGCACAACATCTTTGGGATTTCTTGACATAGTTGTTTGGATAATTGACTAAATAAATAAATGCAGACATCTTTTTGTAAACCAAACAATTGCAATGTATTTTTGGTTTGTTTTATATTGCAAACTATTTGTAGAAAAGTTAATGAGATATTTATGGTACTGAATGTTAAAAATCAAAAGCAATAGTATTAGATACTTGTGTGTAAATTTGAGAAATCACATTTTCTTTTACTGTCCAATTAGTTATCTTATTAGTTTGTATATAGCATATATATTATATATATCGTTTTGTCTATATTATGTCACAATAAATTACTGTATATCATAAACCATACCAACAGAACTTGGGAAATATCATAAATATTTTTTGGCTTCCTGCGGTGCTATCTGAGATCTTAACATACTGGTAATTTTGAATATAAACTGTTTTTGTCCACGAACTCACTGTTACAATGACAACTCGACAAATATCTTTTATAATTTTTTATTTAAATCTTTCTTCGAAGACAAAGCAATTCTAAAAGTTCATTCCCCTATCTTCTTCAATCTATAAATATTTCAAACCAACTCAACATTTGTATATATATATATCATATGAGGTACATGCCTGCCTGACATAGAAATGCATTTTTTAATTGAAAAATTAATAATTTAATAATTAATTTAATGATTCTGAATTGTCTTCTTATGCTTCACAATTTCGAAAGTATGAAGGTAATCTTTCAAGGTCAGACTTTAGAAAGCCTTGCTGTTGGATGAAACTATTGTCTGGCTCTACATAACTTCATGCTTGATATATTAGTCCTGTGCATTTTTTAAATATCAAAAATTATTTAAACAATATATAGTTTGATATATGCTAAATTGACCAGTTGTACTATATTATGTGTGGCTTCGTTACTAAATTATTCTTTTAATGATTTATTTAAATGAAATTGTATTATTAGATTCTTTGTCTAATTTTCATGCATAGATTTCAAATAGAGATGCTGTATTATGATTTTTCAGATTACTTTCTATAACAGTAGTTCCCAACCTATCCTGTGGCCTATCGGAGTCTTTTAACACTCATGCCAACCCTTCCCCTTGTTCATCATTTCAGTGGTAAATATAGTGTTACTTTGATTGGTAGATTCCAAATCCCATCACGTTCAAATAATTCATACCTAAGAAAGGTAAAACACCATGTAAAGTAACTTTATCAAGCAATGAAACTGGGAAGAACGTGGAGTTTTCTAGTAAAGGGCAAATAAAATCAGTTTGCGCCTGGCATAGTGACTCCCATCCAAATGCTCTGCGGCCCAAATGCTCTGCGGCCACAGGCCTCCCGTTGGGAATCACTGTTCTATAACATGGTTTAGTCAGTCTGTTGCATTAATTGGCTTTATATATATATATGTATATGTACGGTATGTTACAAATTTTGGGTTCTGATGCTGATCCTGAATCAACTTAATTATTTAAAATTGATATTATTCAGCAACTAATAAATCTATGTAATTATATTATAGATTTTACTTTGTTTAGTTTACTGTATAAAGTAAAGAGTTTGAACCTGGAATTTTACTATGAAGAGACAAAGGTTAGAAAATTTTTATTACTTTTATTCATGTAATAAACTAAGATACATCAATTCTTATGATCCTATGATGCCAATGCATGCTCTCAATATGCATGTATGTAATGCTTCAACATTAACCAATCATAATTAGTCATAGGTGGTTTATTAAACTTTGATAAGTACAGGTGAAAATAAAAATGAGTGAAAAATTCGTTGTAAAGAATTTTTTTCATACTGCAAGTTTTGGAGTAGATTTTTTTTATAATAAAAAAAAAAACGAAAACCAGGTCATTTGGAACATATTGTATGGAATCTGTTTTTTTGAGTCAAGCTGTGATTCTTCTATCACCTGTTTTACCTTTTATTTTTATTGTAATCAAGAGAATGTTCTTATAGTACGGTTAGGCAATTAATTGAAATCTATAGCATATGCTCGTTTATACGACGGAAACAAGAGTTTCAGCTCAACTTATGTAACAAAATTGCTCATTCAGAAAATATTTTAGTTCTCAAGTTTTTGAAATAGCATTGTATATTTATAACCTCGTATGGAATACAAATATGATTTTTTACATGTTACAGAATTGAATCTTCTGAAGGTGAAAGGAAGAGTGATGGGCCAGATGTGTTGAATGGTAGATATATATTTTTGAATTGTTTTATCCTTGTTTAGTAATACCGGTATGTGTAACATCATTGATTTTTATATTTCTATCCTTAGCAAAGAGCTCACGACTTGTTGAAGATATACAAACCAAATCCGATGCTGGTACCTCACTCGATACAAATCTGGTATGATTTTTCGTTGTATTTCACAAATAATAATATGATATTTCCAAATGAGTGTAGATAGATACTAACTGGAAAGTGCAAAGATGGTGTTTTAATAAAAAGTAGAATATTTTCACAAAAGTAATTGCTTGATTGGTGAAAACCATTGGCTGTTGTAAATGTCTGTGTTATTGTTTATTTTAATGAATTAACCTACACAATTATTCTACTTATCAGAATTCATCATTGGAATCAGGTATGATACATTATTATAAATCATACTTTAATCTATTGCTGTGAAGTAACTGTAAACTGTGAAGAAGTTAGGTCTGTATGAGGTGTTTAACAATCTTGCATTCATCATTGATGCACAAAATTAATTGTTTATATATTTCTGCCGTCACAATTTGCAAATATCAAAAAAAAATAACAGAAACCACTGATTACTCTGCTGCTCTGCTCACTCCGTTTTTGCTGCTATCTGTAAGGTAGAAGGCTAGTACTGATAATAATACTAAGTTCTAATCTTTAGATGTTGAAATGCAAAGATTTGAAAACGAAGAAGATGATAATAATCTTATTTTACGTGGTTACCAAAAGGAACTTGCTGAAAAAGCTCTGAATGGGCAAAATGCTCTAATTGTTGCACCTACAGGTATAAATTTTAATTCTGTAATAAAATATTTAAGTCGCTGAAAAGTTCATAGTCATACAACATCTCATTAGGGTAAAATTAAAACGAATTTACTGCTGAGTTGGTCAAAATTATTTTTCATAATTTCAGGTTCTGGAAAGACGGCAGTTTTAACTGAAATTATCAAGCAGCATATAGAGTCAACAGAGCAGAAAAACCGTCGTGTCTTGTTCTTTGTGCCAAAAACTACTTTAGCACAGCAGCAGTTTAAATTCCTAAAAAGGTACAATGTGTTTACACCAGAATTTGGCTAAGGCCTGTTATGTAGGTAGGTCCCTGTCTAACTCCCAAAAAAGTATACATTCATATTTCAATATTATGACATCTGTATTGATAACTTTTGTTAGTGCTGGCCTGTATTTTGTATATAATACCAAATGCATGTTGTCATTAGTATGTTGCATATTTTGGCACCAAAAATGAAAGCATTCAATTTTAAAATTTCATTGAGTCCATTAATCTATTTGTTATCGATAAACAACCTAGTAAATTAATTTCAGGTATTTGTCATGTTCGGTCAGCTACATCATTGGAGAATTGACTGCGTTGGCACCACCTGGACTAAAAATAAAGAATAGTCAAGTCACTGTTCTGACTCCACAAGTATTTCTCAATGAATTAAAAAGGTAGGAAATACTAAAGTGAAATAAAGAAGTGTAATTTCAGTTAAATAATGAAGTGCGTTGATAATGACATATGGTTTGATTTTAAACCAATATTTAGATAGGGTTTACATATTTATCCAGGGGAGAGAAGGAACGATAAAACGGCTTAAGCATATAGCGAACCACGGCCTCTCGTCCGGTTGCAAGTCCATGTCGTGTATGGGATTAGTTATTTGTTTCAAAAGCATGGACTTGATGGTGGACGAAGCAGTAACTGGCCAGCGGTCACGTGAACCACCCTGTGGCGGCAGTGAGTCTAGCAATCCTCTAGCACAGTGGTTCCCAAACTTTTTTTTCGCGACCCCAATTTTCATTAAATCAAAGCCTACAGATACTCGCCACCCCACAACAAGAAACGTTCCGCAACTTCAAAAATCAGTATATCAGTTTAAATACAATATACCTGTATATCGACTGCAAGTGGACGATGATGGTGAACATTGGCCCAAAAAAATATGAACGGGGGAAACGGGGAAACCTTGTAAGATTCAATAACACATGGCATCGTATGAAAACTACGGTGTAAAAAACTCTCAGATCAGGATTATAACGGTTCTTCGACGAAACATAGATAAACTTGATAAAATATGGTAGATTGTAAGGAAGCGTACGATACTTCGGAAATAGAAACATTGCTTCTAAATATACTTAAGCTCAAAATCTTATTCAGTATATTCCAACAGTGTCTTTCTTAATTTTAGTCCAATATTAACATATTGCTTCATTATTAGCTCGAAAGTAAAACAGAGCACTGAAGTAACATAGGGAAAACGTGTATGGAATCACATCTTTTAAGTGCCTTTTATTATGCTAGAACGGAGGTTGGGAACCTTTTTGGTCAAGAGAGCCATAAAGTTACTTATTTTCAATTGCATTTCCATACAGCATTTTTCTTTCCCTAATCATGTCTCAAATTTTTACTAAGAAGTCAACACCTACAATGTCTCAATATACATTCAATGTGACTTCTGATGCTGCATATTGTCGCTAAAGGCCTTATATGGGTGCTCACATGCAACACATGTTGAAATCGATGATACTCAGCCATATATGGCTTGTGAGACATGGGTTCAAGACCACTGTGCTAGAACTTGTTGTTGTTTTGTGGTCGACTGCTCGGAACGCTTCGAAATTATGTAGGAAACGTCTAAATACGTAATACAGTAATATTGCAATACGAATATGTTCACTTTTATGTCACGGCGATGTGGACAAAAAACTCGTATTTTACTCGTAGATTTTAGACACAGGCGCGAATTAACAAAGTGCTTTCATAACTGATCGAAATCTGAAGTGTAATTACTCGGCCAAGACACCGCCTGGCCACCAATATCATACTTATCAAACACCTGATTAACAGCCAATCACAAAATAAGTTTGATTTGTATATTCGATAACCAAGCGGATACACTGGTACAAAATAACAAACCAACATAATTTCTCGCAGCCTGGCAAAAAAATCCGATTTGCGTACTAGTGGGACACTACTCTTTCGGATGTAATATGATCAAAAAGCTATAAAAAGGAATATATTATTGCCGTTCATACCACTGTCACTCAATTACATTTACTAATACTGGTTTCTGCCGACTAGCTGAAAAAATACTGCATGAAAGTTTTACAGAAAAAATTTGGCTCTATTTGGACAATAAATAGGGTTATTGCTGAAAACTCCGAAGTTAGGCACTTTTATGGTACTTGCCGACCAGCATAAATTTCACTTTCCAACTTTCGAATCCTAGACACCCGTGTGCGCGTGTTTGAAAGAAATTAGGAGACCCCGGGAAATCTTCGCGCTACCCACAGTTTGGGAACTACTGCTCTAGCACATGACTATCACAGCATGGGTTTTCAAACTTGCGAAATCATGCAGGGTAATCAGAAGTGCAGTGATCATATTCCTAGTACTTAGCACGATGCGCCACACCGCCAAGCGTTTTCATCATTCCAGTTATATAATATCCCCTTCAACAAATCATTTTGTGCATTACTCACAGTAATTACTAAGCGTATTGGAGGAGAAGATTTCATTAGCTATCCACAAATGTCATAAATAATTTTCTTCCAGCTCAAAGGAAAAAAGGTATGTCGACTTCAGTGATATTTCCATGATTATTTTTGATGAATGTCACAATGCAACAAAGAATCATCCATACAAGGAAATCATGGATATGTTCTTGGATGAACAAGATCAAAAACACAATGTTCAGGTACCTTTAATTCATGGTATTCATTTTGAAAATATAACAGGCTGTACTCAAAACTCAACTCAGGTAACTTGGTCAGTCAAGTTTCAACTATATTTAGTCTTGTGCTTTTCTGATACCAATGCATTCGAAAAATACACTATATCAGTGGTCAGCAACTCTGGCATTGAAAGATCCATTTGGCATTCTTTCCGTCACCTCAATGCAACCTATTTTTACTCGACTTTATTTTCGACTTTATGTCCTCGACTATTAAGGAATTCCACTTTTCTCACAAAGAACTTCTGTAGCCACTTTGATTCATATGACCCGGCTCCAATATTTGATCTTGCATTTTCTTCTTAATAATGCTTTCAGCTTCTTTACAAAGATTTCCAAAGGATTAAATATGCTGTCAATAACTGGACTGTTTATTTTAAAAGGTGTTATCAAAATGGAAGATTGACACATTTGGTTAAAAATGATAGCATTTATTCATTTTTTTAAGATTGTCGGTGTAACCGCTTCCCCTGGAGTTGGTAAAGCTAAGAATAAAGAACGTGTAAAAGAGAATCTTTTGAGACTACTTGCTAATTTGAACATTAGTACTGCTCCTTGTACGGTTGAAAGAATTTGAAAGAACTGGAGGAACATCAGAATAAAATTAGAGAATGTATGTGTCTCATGTGATGAGATGATTTACTTTATGGTGCTCATTTATTGGAAAACAAAATTTGCGATTTTCTTCAGTTTATTGTATACATTTAATGTGACGACTGTTTCTGTTTATCAGAAACTAGCTACTCAATGTCTGGTGGAGTAGTAGATAATGCACATTGAATATCAGATTCAAAGATAAGTCTTGCCATGAATTTTAATGGTTTAACTTTGAATTTATTGGCCCACGAAACGAAAATATTCGCCCCCTGAAGTAAATTTACCCCAGGTCAAGAACTACCCGTTATAAGTTAACTCAAAAATGTAATGTCCCACTTGTCTCAATATATAAATGAACAGTTAAAATGAACTTGTGATACTTGAGCTGTCCAATTCATGTGATCCTGTTTCCCGAATGAATAATTAAGTTAAGAAGTTTTTAAATGCCAAACACCATGGATAGTAATTCAATTTTTTTTCAGCATTGATTCAAGTCAAAACCGAAACTGAATTTGAGAGTAAAGTTCTGCTTATAATGAGTGATATTGAACAAAATGTAAAGAAACTAAACACAGAAAATGAAGGTAGGATTTTTATAAAACATTCTATAATGATTACTGATAATAAATAAATGCAAAAATGATTCATTGAAACTATAATAATAGACTGAATATATTAAGTAATTTTTTTTTACTTTTCACAATTCAGAGAGGTTTAATTTTAGTAAAGAATATATATATCTATGCCTGGTTTATTCCATATATACCAGAAACAGAGAACTTTTGGTAAATGTGGATGCTTGGTAATGATGCTGGGACTCATGTTTCAAGTTTCACATGTGGACGCACCTTGAGAGTCTTGTCTCAAATGCTATATTATAGTGCAAGGCTGCCCGATTCGTGGCCCGCCGGACTGTTTTTTGCGGCCCGCCCTATAAGTTTGTAAGCAGACTTTTATGTTTTTACCATGTTATATTTCAATATATAGGCTTAAGTATGTTTCGTGATTTTGGTGTGATTATTCCTGCAATCTATCTACACTCAAATGCCGGATCTTATTATTTCGTATGTGTCGAGTCTTGCACCCTGGTGGACATCGACAAACACGAAAGATACTGTACGATCATTGAGGATGAACGCTGAGCGCAATTATAGGAATGAATTTGGAGCCTAAATTTGCAAATTAATTTCATTCTGATTGTTTTCTTACCTGTCTGCTTTGATCGTTTTCATCGCCAACGTAAAATAAAAAGTCAACAATATCTTTGGTACTGGTACTGGGACTCGTTGTCCTTTTATGTTAGTATTTTTTATCTAATGATTGGGTTAAATAAGATTTTGGAAATGTCGTCACTGCGTATCCGTCAATAGTTCGGATGAAATTGACTTAATTGCATTGCTGCATATTGTTCACAAATCAGTATATATAGGCTATTCGTCCAGAAATCTTTGTAATGTTACTTCATTAAATACTTGTATTGGTGTTTCAAATTTTACGAAACGGCCCACATAACTTGATATTCCCGCGACATTGGCGCACATTATGCTCCTTTAAACATTGGGGCAGTATCATAGCTACTGGAAATGAATGAATCGAAACACTATAACGCAAATATTTCCCTCAATGTCGACGTGATGTGTATGTTCTCGCGTGGTCGTCAGATAACTGCAAGTGTCATGTCCACGCTCTGTGTTACCAGATATTTGATAGTAAACTGCTATTCTAATATTCGACTTGATATTCGAATAATTTGCCAGCCTTACTCATTAACCAAAAAGCAATTATTAAATTGATTGATTTTATCTTAATAAACTTGCCTTTTATTTAATATGTAAATTACCTACACCGAAATCAGGACTTAGCTGGTATTAATGTTTGGTACAAACGTTTGCGGCCCGCAACGAATTTCGTCACATGAATTTGGCACGCGAGAGGAAAAAGGTTGGGCAGGCCTGTTATAGTGGCTTTTGATCTCAGTTTAAACAACACTGTCATAGACTCATAGTCATTAGATTTTTCAGTTTTTCCTGAAAACAACAATGTTATTGAAATATGGCACATAAATAGTATAGGATAGAATTTACATATTTATCCTGAGGAAGAGGAAAGACGATATGAAGGCTTAATCATATGGCGAACCACGGCCTCTCGTCTGGTTACCTGTCCAAGTCGGGTATAGGATTAGTTAGCTGATCATTTGTTTTCGGAAGCATGGACTTGATGGTGGAGTAAGACCAGCAGTTGCGTGTACCACCCAACAGAGCATAACAATCCTAGCATGGGGTTTGAACCTGCAAACTCACTCAGGGTAATCAGAAATGCGATGGCGAGCGTATTCCTAACACTTGGCACGATGCACCACACCGCCGAGCCAATATAATACTGATATATGTATGTTGCTCATGGCAAATAGTGTTACGGTACATTTCTTTTTAGCAAAGCAGCTGAGTAATATTCCAAGTGAAAAGGCAAAACAGGTTTACATGAATTGGACAAATAAGTTGAAACAACATGGCAAACTTCACATGAGCGATCAAGATGCAGCTCGAAAACTCATAACATATTCAAAGCATTTAAAGGTAATTGATTTTGAAATATTTATGAACAAGATAGATACTCCAAATTTGGTTTTCTAATAGACAATGATGTAAAATTGAAAATCAAGTACCTATTGAATGAGAATGCAAAAATGCAAACACTCTCTTTAGATGAAAACTTTAAACTAGTGCCGTTTCATTCGGAAGAAGCAACCTTCTGTGAGTCTCGTCCTTCCACCAGTTGGTTGGCATAAAACAGTTAAACATCCGATGCACAGCTCGACTCTTTGAGCGGGACTGAATACTGTCATAATCTGTCGTAAGAATGCAATTGTTTTGTAGTGATGCATGGGATTTATGCTGATGCATAATCTAATATTCTACTGAAACAAGTTTGGTACTTCTAATAAAAATAAAGTTATTGAACTTCAGATGTATCATTGTTTACTGGATTTGAAGAACCTCATTCCACAAGCAATGTTAAAAACAAACGAAATGGTGGATTTTGTGCAAAATGGATCGGAAAATATTGAGTTGGAAAAGAAAAATGAGGGTAATTTTCATCATATAAGCATTTTCAAATATGTGAAAGTAAAATTTGAAATAGGAAAACGAATTTTTTTCATTTTGGTCATAGAAGAACTTCTAAAGTTAAAAGAGATCAAAAGACAAAAAGATTAGAATTTGGAATGTTATTTATTCTCAGTTATATTTACTTTATTTACTTTTTTAGCATTAATATAATTTGTGCAATGCTGATATACGTCATTGCGTTTTGCACCTTGTCACATGTTTGTATATTTTATTCATATAAAGATTATTTTTTTCATTAAACTTAAGAATTGCTAAAGATGTCATCAAATATTGAATTGCCGATGATTGAAAGGTTGGTCAATATTTTGACTGATGAGTTTAAGAAAAATTCAGAAGCTCGGTATATTATATTTGTTAAAATGAGATTGACAGCTTCAGGCTTGGAAGAATGCTTCATGAACAATAACGAACTCAAGCATCTGAACCCAAAATATTTGATTGGAACACATGCTAATAAACAATCGGAAGGTTTGAATTATTTTAAATTATAATGTAACATTTGTAGGATGGTGTGTAATCACATACAACTATATTGCTATTTCAGTTTTCTTCCACATTCCAGGTAGAAACTCTGACAGTCAATTGCCACTTGTAGAACACTATATCAAACACGTACACATAATGACTTACTTTTAGGCATGAACAGGCACGAGTCAGGTTATTATTATATTACAACATTAAGGTTAGGACATCTGTTGTAATATAATAAGGTTATTATATTACAACATTTAGGATCAGTTAGGACATCTGAAAAAATAGATGTATAATTTGATTAAGATTTCAATCTATGCAGTGTGACACACATTATCAAACCTCCATTTTTATTACAGTATGAGTTTGATTAAAAAATTTCAATTTAGCTTTTTTTATTTTTTTCCACTTCTGTATTTGATTTGTGTTCCTGCATTTCTTTTTCCTATTTTTAATTTGGTGGTCGGGCATTGATTATTATGATGGTAGGACTCTTCTTACCCAAATGACGGTAATTAGGTGCGAGAGGATTACGCGACTCCTCACTTTTGTAGGGTGGTTACGTAACCTCAGGTTGGTTACGGCTTCCTCCACCATCAAATCCTTGCACCTGAAAACAAATAACTGGCTAACTAACCCCCGACATGGACTGGTAACCGGACGAGAGGCCGTGTCATCAGCTTTCCTCTTCTATGGGATAAAAATGTAAATCATTTGGTTGTTAGTTTCTTTGTCCCCAGAGGATTGTACACACTTGGTTTAAGCTATTTGGGTAATTTATGATCTTTTTACTTCATTACTGCACTGTATGTAGCAATGACGAAAGATAGTCAAGAGAGTGTCTTGAAATCGTTTCGAGAGGGTGTTACAAAAGTGCTTATTGCAACATCAGTTGCTGAAGAGGGACTAGATATACCAGCATGTAACCTGGTTATCATGTTTAATTATGTAACTGGTGAAGTTGGAAGGATTCAAAGGAAAGGTATGGCAAGTTATGAATTGTTTGTGTTTTTTATGTTTATTAGTTTATTGTGAAATTATATAAAGCTAGAATGGCTACATGTCCAACCTCGTTTTTCAAGTAAAGGTGTGAAATTAAAGAAATGAATTATGCATCACTGCATGAATCACTATATTATGTATATATGTAAAAAAAAATTTCAGGCCAAGAACCTCAATGAGACCCAAAATACAATTATTTTCCTTTAAAAAAAACTTTATTATTCTGCTGTAACAATGTATGGTTGTCATAATCAGGGATGGCCAGTACCAAATAATTCACTACTTCGAATACATTCGAAATTTTATTTTTGAATATGAAATATCGAATACATTCGAGAATAAATTTAATTAAAAGAAGCTTATTTTAGTGTATGAAGCAATTTGCTTACAATAAACAATGGAATAACTGGTATCCACAACCTGGCTATTTACCAGACATTTTATGTCTGCAGATTGCCGTGATATTTGAGTGGTATATGCCGTGATATTTGAGTAGTATTGCTTTTATATTTTCGTAGGTACGAAAATATGAATCAAAAATTAATTATAATGAGCAGTTTACCACACATTTCATGTCCACAAAGATTTATTTTTTATAATTATGGTATTTTATGGCATTTTATTTTTAATCTTTCGTAATTCGACACAACCATGAGTTACTTTGAACAAAATCAGATTAAAACGGCAAGGCATTTTAAATGGTGGTATCTGAATATTTTTCGCAACAGAAAATCATCCTAGTAAATAGTCGATACTTTTAAACTATTATTTCAAAATTATTTGCCATAAAGCGAGAAAAACTATAAATTATTACGTGACAAAGCGTGGAAAACGTTTGAAGATTTCCCTCAAAAACGAAAACCTCGCTTACGGCGAAACGTGACTAATATTTGAAATTATTCAAAAATCAGCCGAAAAGGTATTCGGATACTTTCATATTTTCATACATTTTAATATTCGGCAAAAATGATATTCTGGAATGAATTTAAGTTGGGATAACCGGAAATTTTCCCCAAAATCAACCTCACTAGTATTGACAAAGGCATATGGTATTGGAATTTTCCTGATAACCCTTGACATTATTACAGAAGAACTATAAGAGTTACTTTTTACAATTGATCTAGATACTCCTCTAGATAAATACAGATATATCCTCAAAATAAAAAATATATTTTGAGTTTGAGTTAATTTTGTTGTTTCATCTTAGTTCTGTTTGTACCATAAAATTTTACAAATGTATTCTACCTGTTTGTTATTAGTCCAACAGCAATTACTTAATAGTACCGGTACATCACTGTGCAATGTTCCACAGAATTGGTTTTGATGAGCTCAATAATATGTTGAAATTTAGCAATTTGTGAGTGAGTCAATTGCGGGAACTCATACATATTGATGAGCCTGTTCTTACTTCAGATCAATTGAATCCCAATCTAATATCACAAGATTTAATTTGTAATAATGTGACATTCGTTAAGGTCGTGGTAGAGCTGTAGATAGTCGCGCAATTGTCATAACATCACAAGAAAGTGATCACCTGAGAAAAGAAGAAGACAATAAAATTTGTTCCGAAGCTTCTGATATAGCAATTCAAGATGTAAAAAATATGACAGAGGAGAAATTAAAAATGCAGGTACGTGCTAGACTTTCTAAGATTGGATATGATTTACATATTTAATGGGGATGAGGGGAGAAAGGGAAGTCAATAATATGCTTAATCATATGACGAACCACGGCCTCTTGTTCGGTTACCAGTCCATGTCGGGTATGGGATTAGTTGACCAGTTATTTTGTTTTGATATGCATGGACTTAGTGGTGGAGGAAATTGTAACCAGTTACGCGAACCACCCTACGTTGGTGAAGATTCCAGCAATCTCTCGCACATAATTAAGCCTCAATGGGATTTGAACATGCGAACCCACGCAGGGTAATCAGAGATGCAGGGGCTAGCTTATTCCTAACGCTTAGCATGATGCCCTAGTCCTGAAAATATAGTTTTTTCTTAAATATGAAATTTAAAAGTTTCAGAATTTAAGATTTCAGTAAATTCATCTTTAAAAATTAGCCAATATTCTCTTAGATATCCATCTCAGATATTCTACTTTTAAAATAGATTACTGACATTCAAAAAAAACAAAGAGAAGATAGAGATATAAAAAGAAAGATGGCAAATAAGTCAAGCAAAACTAAAGAATCTCCTTCAAAATGGAAAGTACTTTGTGGGGATTGTGGATCATTCATTACATCTGCAGACAAACTTCGCCATATAGATAATACAGTAAAATTAAGGATTTATTGTTTATGATTTTTCAACATAAGAATATTACGAATATTCATTTTATTATTCTAGTTTGGTAAAATATATTGTAATATATATGTAATATTATGTTGTAAAATATAATGTAAAAAGTGTCATTGATGCATTTTTATAAAATCACAAAGTTATTGATTTTGTTTGAAGTTTTTTATTCTCGTAAACTGTTCTGTTAGAGTCAACCAATATACAGAGATTTTTCAAAACTAGCTTCAAAAATGTGTGCTTTCCAATTTTTGTTTGACAACACTCACTGTAATTAAAAGTTTTAATCTGAAAATTGGAGTTATTTGGCTCGAGCATTTTTATGTAAATATCAGTTACGGTATTTGATGGTGATTATAAAGTAATCTATGTTAATGATTGTTATGCTAATTTTGGATGAACTGCTGCATTACCTGAAGCTTGCTTGATATTACCAGACAACTTTTCAGTGATTGGTCAGAAATATATAGGTATATTTTTATAAAGTGGTTCCATTAAATCTATTGCAGCATACTGTGGTGATGGATGAAAAGTTTCATGGCCGGATGAAAAAACAGGCAATGGATATGAAAAAGGGGCCTACTATTCGAGGAAAAGGAAATTTTCTTTGCTACAATCCGAAATGCGGGTATAAAGTTTATAATAAAAGATATGAGATGAATCAATCACATTTGAGATGGTTAGGTTCTGTGATTCCTGGAATATTTACTGCTATAGAGTAGTCTCGTAACTTATCTAATGCACCATCTTTCACCAAATGTTCTCATGCACCTGAAATGCTCAACTTATATCCGATCAATCCAGGCAGGTGCATGAATGGTGTCGTGATTATGCTATTAAACTTACTCAACCTGTATTAAAATATTTTTTTCTCGTATCATACCTTTTTATTTTTTTTAGTTTGTGTAGAAATCCTATCATACAGTCATTCCTATTGTTACAGTATAAAGATAGCATTGAACCTTGTACATAAGAAGACACTTTTTCCAACACTCTCTATAAAGAAGATAAAGTTGCAAAGAGATGATGGCAAAGTGGAGATTCCTGGAAAAAGAAGTAACTTGCCTTTTGCCATAAACAAAAGTGTCCATGAAGCAGATGATGAAGAAATGCAGAAATCATTTGATGACAATCCGGAGGATGGAGATGAAGAGATGTTGGATGAAGATTCTCTTCTGTATGATGAAGATGATACTTATGAACTTTTAGAACTGATCTAAAACAATTAATATGATATAACCCAATCCTATTGTAGATGTTTCATAGTTTAGCATCTATTTGATACGATTCATCTGCAAATCTGATGTATATTTTTGTTTGCAAAATTTGTAATAATATTTGTCGGTAGAGTAAATTAATTATTAGGTTGTAATTTGATATTAGTAAATACTTTTAAATGTACTATATCTAATTTTTTTAGTCTCCCTATTGTTATCAGTCAAATCGAGTTTAAGTCTGAGGTGTTTTGAATATCATTTGATTATGCTTGTGTTGTCTAATGTTGATTCATATTATAGATATGTAATTTATATAAAAATAAGAAAATTGAATGGTTCAAAGTTTATCATTCCATTTCAACAATGAATAAAATGATTGCTATCGAATAAACTACAATCAGTGAACCTGTGATGTTTTCTAGCCACTGTTATAATTTCTTTGCACTATTTTGATTCAGGCACATTTTTATTTCATTATTCTTTGAAAATGATATGCATTACAATATTGCATTATGCTATGCAGCCTTTTTCTCAAAATGATGTTTTCATATTATTTTTTAATTTTGTGAATGAAAATATTTATCATTAACAACTGAACTCATCTGTGCTATGATATATTTAATGCTTGAACAGATCAACAGAATGAATTGATTTTTTTTATATGCTTTACAGTAATCTGAAAGTTATGTTATATGCATCTCAAGAAACAATTCTTCATTTGTACATCATAGTGTGGTTAATACACTCACTCCAACTGTGTCTTTGTTAGTTTTTGTATGTATTGAAAACTAGTTCGATGTTGATTCTTTTGCTTAATATGCTGGTATTACTTAAAATTCTGATTTTATGCAGTTTTCAGTAATTTTCTAACTCAACTTTGAAGTAAATTTCTCTTTTTATATTTGTGATTGTAAGTTTTTTGAATGGATGTCCATTAGATGAATATATTTTAGGTTTGTTACTTACAGGTAGATTTATATGGGTCATTTTAGAAAGATTGTACAGCTCATTATCAAGCACTGTTAGATTTTATTTTATATTCGTATTGATGAAATGAATGGGGTCATGATTTTTAAGGCCATATATTATAGTTTTTATTCTAGTAGAACAGTGGTTCTCAAATCTCAATTTTTTGAGAGGGCGTGGAGCTAATTAAAAATCAAAATATTTGGAACTCACCAACCTTATTTCGGATATTCACATTTCTTTGTTTGGATATTTACGTTCCATCCACATATTTCCAAAATGTTTTTTGAATAAAACATACTTTCGCCTTAGTATCTGTTATTTGTAGCTTATTGTTACCTACCGGTATTTATTTTCGAGGTTGGGCGTGAGACTTGACAAAATCTAAAAATAGGGCCCGGCTTAAAAAGTTTGAGAACCACTGTAGTAGAAGATTGCTCCGTGTGCATGAGTTAGTCAAGTATATATTAAAATTCTTCATTTAAAGTCTGTAGTTCAAATATTATATCACTATGTATTCATATATCTTGAACTTTTTTATGGAGAGTCACTAAGAATGTTTTAATATAAGTTTCTGAAATAGCCCAATTTCGTTGTTATGAATCGCCATATATTAATATCCTAGTTTTTGAAACAGAATTGTTTATGTACTAATTAGTACAGGCTGATCACTAGAAATACAGAAAATTTGTCAAACAGATATATATTTTTACAAAGAATAACTTTTACAAAGTTTTTTAAAGGCATATGTTATATTCCTTTCAATTCTGAAAGCTGTTTCCTGCCTTCTTTCCGTGAGACAGGTGTCAAAATAGAAATCAAATAGAACTTATAAGGTATCAACCTGAAACAACCTAGAACCTAATAGAAATGAAAACGTATCGAAAAAGAAATGAGTAAGCACACATTTTATTTGTAATCTCATCTGACCTTCAAATTTTTTGCTTTGCTAGTGACCACCCTGTATTTAGGCAGTAATGTATTTTATATATGGATTTATTTCTTAGAATCTATTACAATTTTAGAAACAATTACATTGTGATTATAAATAAATTAAATCAGTAATATATGTACTACTTGAATTTTTTTTGATAGTTTTTACCAATTACCCAACCCAATCTTTTGCCTTTAGATGTTTTTTTTTTATTTGTATCTGTAAAATATTAGCATGCTGGGGATAGGGATCGAAGAGTATAACTGAAATTGAGAAGAAGAAAAAACTACCAAATTATCTAAAGTTGTAAGTGAGTATGTCTGCTACCATATTCAATTCAATTTTATTCAAGTTTTATTCAATAAGAATTATCAATGAACTTCAATTTTACTATCTGAAATCTATCACTTTAGTAAAATGTTCCAATTTCTCTAAATTTTGATTTGATTTCAATTTTGTGCTTTGTACAATAAGTTAAATTTTTTATATAGATTGATGTACGATAAATAAACTTTTAACATTAAGCATTTCTTTTTTAAAGTTCAGAAAAAATCGAAAACATGTCAGGATTCATGAATTGGACACCCTTAAGAGGAGGAATTGTCAAAATTGGAAACCCGATTGATAAGGATTCCCGGGTATACAGGTCAGATTTTGCTGCTCTCAAAGAGCTCTTTTATGTCTCAGTTGTGAAATAGAGTCCAGGAACTACTTTGAATCAAACAATTTTACTGATTAATTGCAGGGGTGTTTTTGATGGCAAAGAGGTTGCTGTAAAAAGTGTGCTAGACACAAATGAAAAGGAATGTGATATTCTTCGCAACTTGACTCATGAGAATATCATAAAATATAAGTATATGGTATGAATAACGTTATACTGGACATTAATAATTTAAATACTGGCAGTGTTCATGGTTTCAACTTGTTTTTGAAGAGACTTGAAGAATTATATCATATGAGCATTCTTTATACAACCATTGTAAATATATGACATGATGTAATTTGCCATAAGTAGACTGTCACATCTGTTTCAAACTACATACTATTAATTTCTCACAACTTATGTGCCAAAGTTTTTTATATGAATCGATGCGTATAATGTAAGGAGAAATATTGTAAATTTCGCAGCTTTTATCGACGTGTAGTGTTGAACTCAGCTGAATTGATATTGTCTACAAGTACACTCAACAAGAGTAAATGAATCCTGTCATTTCTAACTGTCACTACAAATCTTTGCCATTTCATTGCATGATAATATTTTTAGGTGCAAGAAGGTAGAACATTGCATATTGTTTTGGAGTTGTGTTCACATTCACTCGAGCAAGTAAGTATCTTATTTTACTTGAATTCAAAAAAAGTTTTTGATTAAAAAATAATAATTTGCTTTTATCAACTACGGCACTGAGATGGGGTTCTTGATTATTGATTTATAACTTTTAAATTTAGGGGAGTGATATAATCATGATAGAACATGGTTTTTCAAAAATTTTGGGCCGCCTGTCCCTGTTTGTGAATCTTAGTTTTGACTAAACCCCGTCTTTACAACACAACAACACAAACAACATTAATGTGAATGAGGTTACTTTTCATTGCACAATTTATCAATTCTCGAGAAATTTGTGACAAGCAAACTTGTCAAACTAGGTTTGACTCTACGGCAAGTCTCGACTTGTATTTTGTCATCATATTGGTAAGAGCTGAAAATGCTGCCTCGCACATGTAGGTCATTGCAAAAATCAATTACCAGTAAATTTTAATTGCTTTTTCTAACAGCAATAAATATTTGTCTGCAACGTAAGTTGCAATGACTTATTGATTGAAATTGATCATTAAACATGGATCAGACTCTTTTCATATCCTTGCAGACCCCTGTGCAGTCATCATGGACCCCATTTTGGAAAACCCTGCGACAGAGAGCGATTTAGACTCATATAATTTGATTTCTAACTTGTAATGTCACGATACCTTTTTCATTGCGCCATCACCATCACCACCAGTTCAAACTTCAGTCAGAGCTCCGAATAATTTTTAATATTATTTTCTGAGGTTTCATCTAATATGGATAATTATCAAATAATTACAGTATGTTTTGCAAGAAGATCATTGTAATATCTCACTTACATCGATTGAGGTATTGAAGCAAATCACAGAAGGAGTCTATTACCTTCATAATGGTCAAACTTATTGTACAGGTATAATTTTGTATATTCGCTGTCATCACTGTTTTTTATTGAATATTAGTAATAACAATTTTCTCTGATTTTTATTGGTGGATTATAATCACATCACTATTTTAAGTTTTAATTCATAATAGCACAGTGCTTCTCAAATTTTTTAAGCTATGCCCATTTTTAGAAAGCTTTTTAGAAAGTCTCGTGCCTCGTTAAGGCGAAAGCATGTTTTATTCAAAAAGCATGTTGAAAATGTGTGAATGGAATCACAATCTCTGAACAATAAAGAAATGTAAATATCCCTAATAAGGCAGGCAAGATCAAATCTAATAAACAAGTTTTTTTAATCAGCTCCAATCTCCCCAAAAAAGTATCTACGCCCCCACCTCACCAATAACTTTTTCTGTGGGCAAAAGGGCTGTTATGAGTAAAGAGCAAATGGTACTTTTTTTCTCAGACCTACTCTCAATTCAATTTTCTAATTCATGACTAAAACTAATTTTCAAATTTAGAAATCATCTTCAATGTAATACAAAATTACTTTGTTCAACAGTTTTTACAATTTTTGTGCAATATTGTACTTTTTTAGTTCATTGTGATCTGAAGCCATCAAATGTTCTTTTTCTATATGTGGAACGAGATGCCAGATGGTTGGTTAAAATCTCAGATTTTGGCTTAAGCAAAGATTTATCTCCAGACAAATCTTCAACAACATCTCATGTGAAAGGCTCGCATGGCTATATTGCTCCTGAATTATTGGTACGTAAGGATGGCACAAAAGGACCTGGGAAAATTAGAAAGGTATGTTATGGTGTTACGATACCAAATGCAGTACCAGGAGCAGTATGTTCACATTTGTTTTGTATTCTGAAAATTCTATTTTTAAAATTCAAATCCTTGTAAAAGCTCAATAAGAAGAATTGAGAAACATTCAGTTTATGAGTCAAATGTGTAAATGAACGCATGGTTATAAGATCTCTTACCGACAAGGTCAACTGATATTAACATTAATTAGAAATAAATAACTCAGAGTCTTAGAGCTACGTGCAAGTTTAGGGATATGAGGTATCTACCCTTCTCAGTAGACTAACCATAAAGCTGATATACAGGTTTCATTGATATGAGAATTGTTGAAATATCATAAAATATATAAGTAATAGTGTTCTCAGAGACTTACTTATCTATACTTACTGAATATTTCGAAGTGATAATTTAAAAAAAACAGATTTTGGTTTTAACAATGACAGTTTAGAAAAAATGACCGATCTTCATCAAGTACAACATTATCTTGTCCGGAAGTGAGGGTTCGTTATATGTTTAGATTGTGCGACACTGTTTTGTTTGCACGTTCCAATCCGATCTGGAACATTTATGTGCGGGAATGTTGTTAGACTCATTGTCATGTGGTTGATGTAAACGCTAGTTGGTTAAGAATTCCTCCACTACTTGAGTCCAATGAATAACTGTTAATTTCCATTCCCAAAATCTTATCGTTGTGTGCTATCTTAAGCAATTTTTTGGGCAACAGTTATATCTATATCAATAGTTGTTTATCATTTTTGTGAAAATTACACAAAAAATATTGAGTTAATAATACTAATGATAATTGGACTAAAATAGTAACTACGAGCATTAAAAGAGTCTGTGCAATTTCCAACTCTTTAAAACTTGATAGTTTTGGAAACCCCAAATTTTTTGACCATTTCAAGGAGGCTTGTGATCTCCTTTTATAACTCTGGAAACATAGTTATGCAAAATATTTGCAATAATTTGGATATAACTGCACATACGTTATCACAATATTGAAGAGGAAGTTTTTATTGTACATTAGAGACAAATTTTGGATTGTGCAATAATATTCAATTATTCGGTTCGATTCGAGAAAAATATTCGGTTCGATTCGAATCAAAAAAATATTCGATTTTGAACAGCCCTATTTGCTATGATCACAAAATTGTATGAGAATTGATCAGGACTTGATTGATTTACTTCGCTCCATACAACATAATATTCACTACTTTATTATATTTTATAGGAAACGGATATGTTTTCCCTTGGTGTTATATTTTACTTCACATTGAGTGGTGGGAAACATCCATTTAGTAATGATCCTTACTATGCTAATGCTAAAGTTCGGGATGCTGAGCCATCACTCAGTGAACTTGGAGAAGAATGTGAGTTATAAATGCTCTATGGAATTGTTATTCAAACATTTGCCGAGTTTGTAATTACAGGTAGTAGCAATTAACCACGCAATTTGAACTTTATCTCCAAAACTAGGTTTTGCAAAATAATGTCATTACCAATTAGCGATGTGCAAAAAGCATATATGATTATATTTTTTCAAAATAGACCAAAAGGGATTAAAAATTGAATTTATTTCCAGCGCAGAACTAAAAATAACGTTGTATTGGAATATAGACTTTCCTAGGTTGGATTCACAATTCTTTTTGCGATTTATAAATATGTGTAGTTCAGGGTTCCATTGAACAAGAGTCATAATAGTTTATACCAATATGCCATTATGATACTTTTTACCCTGTTATCAACAGATAAATTAGCAGAATCTCTTATTCTGTCACTGATTTCGAAAGACTGGAAGGAGAGAATCAAGATTCAAGATGTGAAATCTCATTTCATTTTTTGGGACTGCAGTAAGACGCTAAATTTTTTTCAGGTACATGGTTTTTTGGAACATCAATTTCAATTGCATTTCGAATTATTCTCAATGTTTGCATTTTGATAAGTCATTGTTATCTTGAATGGAATTTTGATTGGAATGGTATTGAAATAAACTATTCAGCATTTCAAAATTGTATCTATTCATATAGTTTTAGGGCACAATGAAACAAAACTTGAACTAAATACTGTAATCAATCTAAATTCTGGTATTTGTGAATAACATGTCTAAATCAAATGATCATCTTCCATTCTTGTTAAATAAAAGCTTTTTCTAGTGATGCAAAGTAAATTTGAGCAGGGAACCAGAATACTCTATGGCAGGGGTGGGCAACCCCATTCATTCGGCAGCCCATTCGGAGCCCATTCATTCGGCACGCGAGCGAGGCCTTGGAAACGAGATCATTCTCCTACAGATAAAAAGTTTTCAAGACTCTGAACTATCTGATGAAACTAATTGTTTGTTTATTCATTATTGTTTGTTAACAATTCGTTATTTTCTCTTTTTGTCCTTCATGTTATATGGCTACAAAGAAATGTATTATGACGTAACGAATGAGTGAGCTCTGGCGAAATTTTGTCGGAAGAACGCAGCATTCATTTGGCTAGATTTTTACATAATATAGTTCGTCTGTGTCCTCCTTTTTCGTCATTTCTGCTTGATTTATGGAAGTTGTATAGCTCCTGTTGGTTATAGTTACTTGCTAACTCACTGTTATAAATTGATTTCAAAAGAAATATAAGTGATTAGGGGTGGGAATACAAGAGAGGAGTGCAGAAAACGTACTGTTGCGTGTGATTGGTATGCCTTCCCGTAAATTTTTCGTGGCTTCTACATATTCTTGTTAATCTCTGTTCTCAGTTATGAACTTTATTAAGTCTCTTAACAGGATGAGCATGAACGATGAAACCAGTAGTTACTAGTTCGTGTATTTCATTAAAAGTTACAAAATATAAACGCAATGTAAAATCTCTATCAGCGGTAATGCAGCAGCAGAAGTCTCACTGATATAGAATAAGAAAAGTAACCTTTGTCGGACTGATATTTTTCTGAATACTGAATCTGTCTGTACATGTTTAAAAGGTTTATTATTGTGTATTTTTGCTTTGAAAGTAGCAAAGCATTGTTATTAATTTTTGTCGGCACGCAGAAGAATTTTATCGTTAAATTTAGCCGATTTTGGCACGCGAAAAAGGTTGCCCACCCCTGCTCTATGGCAGGCACTCTGTCTATATGTGCTTTGTTTGCATCAATCATTAGATATTGAATAAATATTGTTTATACAGACTGCATCTGACTTTCTTGAAGATCGCAACAAGCACCAAAAATTGATCAACGCCTTCAATAAAAATTACAAAGATATTGCTGGTGGTGATTGGTTCGAAAAATTGTGTAGTGAACCTGAAAACCTGAGGTTTGTGAGACATTAAAAAAAGGAAAAAGAAAACGTCACTTCAGGATCTTTTACGTCAAATTCGAAACTGGGTACATATTTTCATCTCTATTACTGGGAAATTGAAATTATTATTCACTTGTATTTGCTATAAAATGCTAAACACACCAGGTTATGTAACTCAGTAACGTAGGAAATATCAAACTATTGCTATGCAGTGATGCTCTAGGCAAGATTATGAGATTCTACTTAGATAAATGGAAAATAAATTGAATGAAAGTACTATGAAAAATACTAAAATCCTTTTTAAATAAAAAATAAACAAAACATTCAGTCTTGAAATTCTTAGCTTAACAAGCCTTTAAATTATACTTTATTCTTTTCCATTATTTGCATACTTGTGCAATGTACATATATACAGAAAAATCTTAAAAAACTCAAATTGTAATTAATTATAATAGGGTCATCATTATAATGACAAAGCTACTTCTGATGAACTTCGTGAAGAGCTAGGTGACTTTCCAGATGGTTTCATCCAATATTTCACATCAAGGTTTCCTAAGCTTTTGCCTCATACATATGATATTCTCAGCGTAAAAAAGGATGAGCTTGTTCTCAAAGACTTTTATGGTATCAAGTATGTTAATTTAAATATTTAATAGATAATTTAATTATATTTATATTGTTGATATATGTGTTTATTGGGAACAATTATTTCATTTACATATTTATTCTAGGGGAAAAGAAGGCTGATAAGAAGTCTGATTACCAGTCTATTTTGGGTATAGTTTTAGTTAACCAGTTATTTTTTTCGGAAGCATGGACTTGATGGTGGAGAAAATCATAACTGACCAGCAATCGTGTGAACTGCATAACCATAATCTCGCACATAACTATACCTGCATAGGATTCGAACCTGCGAACCCTCGCAGGGTAATCAGAGGAGCGATGGCGGGCAGACCTAATGCTTACCTCGATGCGCAACACCGCCAAGCTAAATTTTCTGTACTTCATAAGATGGGAGAAGTTGCAAGAAGGCAGGCTATTGCTTAGTACCCTTGGTTGCCTCAGTTCAAATTTTACTAATTTATGTTTATGCATGGAAACATTGTTTGACATTTAATTTTTGTGTCCATTTGAGCAGCGCTCCCTTGTTTCCGAATTGAGTTATATTTTTCGAGTTGTTCACATCATAACTATGGTTTAACAGCTATTTAAAAAGGGTTTTTAGAGTGCGGTGTGGCATGAATCTTGTCGGTTCGAATATTCTATTCATTTAGTTACATGCTGGGTTATGCGGGTTACCTTTTTAGAATACCTATCTTGGTCGTTCTTGAATCTTAAAAACAGTTCAGAAAGCCGATATGTAAATCTTTTTTTTTAATCTATTTAGATAATTGTTTATTGCTATCATTTATGTTAAAATATTTATTCATGATTTCCAACTCATATCTATTTGTATATTATTTATTCTATAGCTATGTGATTTGCATCAAATTTTCTATGTATTATAGAGTCGAAGCTGCAGTTACTTATACGGAAGGAGCACAAGCGTCATGCAGTAGTGGTATGTATTCGTTTTTCAAATGATCGAGTGTTCGGTTCTCGGACTTTATACTGTATATATCAGTATTTATTCTCAATTTACTCATAATTTTTGAAATAAAAGAGTAAAACTACAATATACAGTGATATGACCCATTGTTGCATTTTATTTTAATCATATACCCTATATATACATTGGAACTTTTTTACTCAAGTGCCAATGCCAAATGATGAGGAAGATGATGACAATGAGCTTCTTGGCCTGGTGAGCTCTATCATTTAACTCTAATTCATATTTTATATTCTGGCACCTTCTAATTCAAATATGACGATCTAAAGTCATGTCGAAATCCAGAAATTAATTTGAGGAAATAGCAATATATTTTGTATTGTACTTGTGTGCTACTTTTTCAATTCATAATACTTTGTGACCCGATATAAAAAATTAGTCCTTGAATTGAATATATGATAGTGTTATGTATGGTTAGTTAGTACATGTAGTGTTATGTTATAATAAGTAAGGAAGTTCACTTATTTTCAAAATTTAGATGTTTTATTGTGTGCTTCCAAAAATTTATATTGCAGAACAAATTTCAGTAACATGTGTTTGTAATGTGTCTTTGTGTTTTTCTATTATCAGGATGATGATTCAATTTCTCCTGGTATGGTTTTGTAATATTTATTATTTTTGTATTGGGTAATAAAAAAGTTTATGAGTGATTGTCTTTATCATATATTTTTCATCTCAATATATGAATGTGATATACGGTACTGCGTCATCAATAAATTGCATTTGTTTTTGTTTACTACTGGTAATCCAACAACTGGCAGTGGGTCGGTAAGTCCCTGGATAAATCTAAAAATCCTATCCAATTTGAAAATAATTTTTATTACTGGCTATTGCATAGGTTTTCTTATTATAGATACATACTGTCTTTAAACAGAGACCAACCCAACGCACATGTTAATCGACAACTGGCCGCAAGTCACCTTTTCATAGATGTATATTGTATCACTTATCTCACCATGAAAGAAAGAAAATATTTTTCAATTTGAGTTTAAATTATGAACCAATTAGTGTTAGCTTTGATATCTCCCAGTTGCATATGAAACTCACCGATGCCTCAAATAAATGAATATTAATGAGCACAATAGAATCTACTCATGTTCGAAACAGAAGATAACTGCTATGTCAATTAATGCAATACGATATATTATCAGTTAATTCACTTTGGTCTGTAAACCCTATACAAAAAATAACAAATTATTTATTATGAATGTTACTTTTGATTTTTGCAGCAAATCAAGCCAGTGAAAGTAAACTCATTCTTCGTAACTATCAGAAAGAATTAGCAGAACAAGCACTAGCCGGACATAACTCTCTCATTATTGCTCCTACTGGTGACAATATTTATAGACTTCGTTTCTTTCATATAACAGAATCATTTAAATTTTATCATTTGTTCTCAATTTTATTCATGCATTGTTATATATTCAGATAATAATGCATTATCCTTCAGTTATTTTCACACGTTACGAATCATGATGTAAGTTTTAAGAAAATCAATATCACCCATTTTCACCCTTAACACCAAATTTGTATATGCAATTT